ATCAACAATGCTTCATCAAGCAAACTCTTACATGCAGTCAGAACACCATATATATGTTATGAATCTTACACGAAATTCATCTTCATCACAGTGTAAATGATGGCAATGGAAAAACGTGTATCATGCAACCTGTTTTTAGCTTAGCCTTATAGATAACTAGCTCGTTAGCGAATCAATAAATATTGTAAACTTTACCAATATCAATATGCTAGCTTGATAGTGAGTAATAAAATACAACTTATTTGTTTATCTTCGTAATGATAGTTAGATTTTTTTATTTACATGTGTTTCTGACATGATGTCACTACATGCACGCCTTCCTCTCCTCTCCGCTCGTCTCAGGTAAATAATGCGTCTTCAGCTCAGCTGTCGGAGTCGCGCGTTCATGTGTTTTGGGGGCGTGGCTTTGGAAGGAGCCCAGAAGGGAGGGGGTCAGAGCGCTCTGGAGGGGGTGAAGTGAATGGAAATAATGAGCTGTCTTTAAAACGATCGTGAGAGGTCTACAGACACTCGATTTGTATACTTTCTTTTTCAGAGTACTTAGATTTTAATTATGCATTGATATATACAGAAAGTTTAAAAAAAATTGGGGAAAAAAGTTTTTTTTTTAAATTCTGACCTACACTCCCAGACAGCAAACGGACATTGAATCAACGTGGAAACGACGTCTCTCATGACATCGAAACAGCGTTGATTTTGCTCATCAAATTAACGTTGAACCAACGTCAGACGCGGCATTCTTCAAAGCTAAATGAAAATCGAAAATTGGTTTGCTTTCATAACGTTGATTTCAAGTTGATTTTCCGTTAGTTTTGAAAGAATGGCGCGTCTGACGTTGGTTCAACGTTAATTCGATGAGCAAAACAATGTCAGATCAACGTTGTTTCGATGTCATGTTTCCACGTTGATTCAATGTCAGTTTGCTATCTGGGCTACCTTTAGGCTATTTATATCGATATTTGTCTATGCACTTTTGAACTGTTTAAATCTTCGCAGCATTGGCTTAGCAAAATGCTAGCGGCAAACTCTTTTAGAATGAATGGTCACGTCTCTCGTTTGCTTTGCTTTAAGGTAGGGACTCACCAAACCGTTGCCAATGAAGTATTGCCGATGAAAGCCGACTGTGTTGTCACTTTACGACGCCTGTCTATTTCTGCACATATAAAACTGACACAAACCGTAAACAAAGCAGTGCATGCTTACCGTTCTGAATATCAATCCCGCTAAGCACTTTCTTTATTCCACTCCGCCTCTATTAATATTAAAAGATTCGCCAAGGAACACTCAGGTAAGTACTCAGCTCAGGTAATTTGAACAGCCTTGTATCTGTACCGTTTTGACTTCTTTGCTCGCTGTTTTGCTATTATTCTCGTGACGTGAAGTGACTCGTTCTCTAAGCTGAACAGCCAGTCAGAGTTCCCTCTTTCAACGACGGCTTGATGCTGATCCAACATTTAAAAAAAAAAACAGATGGCATCTAACTAGAGCCAATGGTACGCAACACACTACGTCGACTTGTGCAATTTTTCTGCATATATGTGTTGTTCCAAATCAGTCACTTGTTGGTTCATGCGGCTCTATTTCGCTTTAAATAAAGTTGCCTATCTAGACAAACTCTTGTCTATGCAGTCCAGGAATTCCGCCAGATTGTCATCACACGTGTTTGTAAGAAGGAGCATCAGGAGGAGACACTGCCATACTCGCAGGTCCCACAGTCAGCCATACAGTGTTCTCTTGGACATGAATTACGCTGATTTACAAGATTATATAGACTGTTTAGGTATATTGCCTGCTTATGTCAACAGGGGATCAAAAGAGAACAAGCTTTGACATAGCAGGATGCCATCAGATGTCCTGTGCGTGGCTGCCTCTATCCACCCTGAAATTGATCCCCACGGGCCTGTAATGCATCAACCATATTTAGGCATGCTGATACAAGTGGGAACAGTGTAAAGGCCACCATGTGCTTGTCCTCATGAAGTCTCAACGTATTTTCATCCCAAGGCTTCATATATGACAATTTGGCCAAAGCGTAAACATCCAACACACATGACACCCTTTAGCGTCATATGAGGCGCTTCGGTTATGGTAGGTTTAGGTATGGGGTAGGGTTATCTAGGGGTATCTGCGTCTCATTTGATGCTAAAGGGTGCCATGTGCGTTGGATGTCTACGCTTTGGCAAAAGCGTCGTATATGACGCCTTGGGATGAGAACGGGATGGAAGTCCACATAAATGTAGAGCAGTGGTTCTCAATCTTTTTGACTCCAAGCCCAACTTTTACCCCACTAAAATCTGAAAAGCCTAACAAGCCCCCTAAGAAAGTGGAATTTTTGTTGTTTCAATTCAGTTCCAATTGTGTCATTGCAGTTAAATCAATAATATTACTGAGGTGATGATAGAGGGAAAAAAAAAAAAAATTCATATGACTTTCCAGTTGTTCGGGATTTACTGGATGGATACAGATTAAGAACAATGCTTTTTTAATTTTTTTTATTATTATTTTTACCCACAAATCTGGCTACCTCATTAACCTATGTTTTCCAAGACCATGGGAACCCTTGTAGGTTGTTGAGCCAACCCGGTCTCATCCCAAGACGTCATATAACTGACGTTTTGGGACGTCTTTTGACCATACGTCAATATTCGCCTTTTTAGGGCCCCCTTAAACGTCGGTAGATGAGGTTATGGGATCCTAACTCTACCCCAGACCTAAACCTAACCATAAACCTAACCCGTCACCTAACTGACGTTAAAGGTAAAGCGTCAGTTGTATGATGGCCCGGGATTGCCATCTACCGACGTTTAAGGGGGCCCTAAAAAGGCGGATATCGACGTATGGTCAAAAGACGTCCCAAGACGTCAGTTATATGACTTTTTGGGATGAGACTGTGTTAGTTGAGCGGGTGAATTAAAATTAGAAATATTTTGATTTGGAGTTGTTTTAATCATCTTTAGGCCCCCTGGTTGACATTTTAGTCTCATCATGAACATCCACTTAGGCCGTGTGTCCACCAAAGCGTTTATAGCCAGCTGAAAACGCTAAACGCTCTGCTGAAGACGCCGTGCTTTGGGCGCTTGAAAGCGTTTTGGCAGCGCAGCGCTTTTTCTGTTGAGGCGTTTCGTTGCTATGATACAGAATATATGCAGCAGTTTGAATGTTGTGACAGTTGGTCCCCGCCCCTCCTCCACTGTGATTGGACGGCTGGGTAAAATGTGACAGTGATGAGCGCTGCGTTTTATCCAAAGTTGAACATTTTTCAACTCCCAGCGACCAGTAAAAACGCTGGGCGCTCGGCGCTTCAGCAAGAAAAAACGCTCAGCGCCTCGGCACGCTCATGGCGTTTAAAAAACGCGCCGCTCCCATTGAAAACAATTGAAAACATACGCCAGGGGCGTGGAAAAACGCTTTGGTGGACACGCGGTCTAGGGTTAGACTTAGGGTGCCATTTGGGTCAGGACCCTGGGTCCAAAAGTCTTGAGACCACATTGAAAATCTGGGATTCAAAATCCTGAATTTTACGAGGTTGATAATTTATACAAATTCATACAATCTCACTAACAATAACTGGAAATAAAAGAAATTTGGATTTTGAAAAATTTAAAATGCATAAACACAATGACCCCTCTATACATCCGTAAAGTTAATTTACCATCGTATTGTACATCAGAAAAATTCATGCCAAACATTTGGACTTTTGTAATTAGCTATGCAAATTTTGTATTTATTTAGATTCTATGTTAATTACTGTTCTTTTTGCAGTGCACATTTAATAACGTGGAGACTGTTTAGCCACTCGAGTACAGTTGTGGTCATGTTTATATACCCCTTTGCAGAATCTAGAAAATGTTAATAATTTAAAAATTAAGAGGCATCATAAAAATTGTATGTTAGCTTGGGACCACATCGGTACCTGTGAGCAGTCTGACGTATGTTATATTACTTGCTGTTGCGAGGGAGCTTTAATGCTTGCACAGAGATACACTCTACACGTTTATATGCATCACTTCCTGTGTTCTGCACAATGACTGAGCTTCTGTCTCCAGGTTTTTTCAAACTCACTGACCTCAGAAACAGGTGTTTTCTCGGGAGAACAAAATGAGGCAAATTCTCACAAATTATTTTTGTCCCTGTTCATCAGAATGTGGATGTTCACAGCTATCTGTATGTAAAGCACGGCATGTGTTTGTAGGTAGATGGAGCTTTTACAAGTCATTCTGTCTATATTTACCAAGGGCTTGGGTATCAGTTTATAAAAACATAGATTTTCGCTTAAGATTTGAAGCTTGCATAGGCTGAGAAAGAACACTTATTAATTCAGTGGAAATGTGTCAGTTTGGCTACATGAGTTACTCATTGAATGTTCCTTTACACCGTGTTCCAACCAGGCAGGGGGAAAAATGCAGTTTTTGTCTTAATCAGTTGCAAATGTCACAATTATGAAGGTGACAAGTTCACAGAACTTTTTGTTGGTTGCTTGGTTTCTTATTCAGTTGTATTACGCTCTCATTTGCCCAAAATTCTTCTCAACAGAGCAAGGTTTTGTATATTGTTCTACTGCAATTCTGTCCATGTGTAGTATGGCACCTGGTCAGGACACTGGGGTCAGTTTCAGTGTAGCTACACAATAAATTGTTTGTTTTTGTGTTTGTATTGGAACTGTGGTCCAGCGGTTAGTGCATGACACATTGAGCTGTGTTGCTCATGTCGGTGACGCAGATTTGATCCTGTTTCTCGTGCTTTACTGTTTTCTCTTTAACATCCCACAAATTAACTTAATTCATATAATTAAATGCATAAAAACTCCATAAATTAATTTCATAAAAAAATGTAAGTAAACGTACAAGACTATGTAAAAATGGGCCATTTAATAAATCTAAATGAAACAGGCTTTATGTAAATGAAGGGTTTCTGCCCAGTCATCCATGAAAGTGATTTTATGTTACAGTATATGCTCATCTTCATTTGTTTTGACATTGTTTTCTTTTCTATTTTAACAGATGACTCCTCAGCTAAAGAAGTTAGCAGGGTAAGTGAGGCATCGCTTTTGTGTGTGCGTGCGTGTGTGTGTGTGTGTTCGTTTGTGTGGGTGTTCCTTTAACTTTGTAAAGGCTGAGATAGAAAATAATAGTCTATAAGATATATATATATATATAGATAGATGGATGGATGGATGGATGGATGGATAGATAGATATAGATATAGATATATGAAGAGTTCAGATGCAAAAGCCTCTAAATGCCATTTGAAATTTTCTTCTTTAATGATGATTTTTATCAAACTTGCATATTTAAGTTCAGTAATTTCACTTAAATAACAATTAATAGGTAATTATCATTGCCATTTAAGTGAAAGCACTGAACTTATATATACAAGCTTGATAAAAATCATCATTAAAGAAGAAAATTTCAAATGGCATTTAGAGGCTTTTGCATCTGAACTCTTCATATAGATATATATGTATATGTGTGTGTGTGTGTGTGTGTGTGTGTATGAAGAGTTCAGATGCAAAACCCTTTAAGTGCCATTTGAAATTTTCTTCTAAAATTATAATTTTTATCAAGCTTGTATATTTAAGTTCAGTAATTTCACTTAAATGGCAATGAAGATTACCTATTAATTGTCATTTAAGTGAAATTACTGAACTTAAATACACAAGCTTGAAAAAAAATGGTCATTCTAGAACAAAATTTCAAATGGCACTTAGAGGCTTTTGCATCTGAACTCTTCATATATATATGTATATATGTTTTTTTTTTCATACATCTGGCTTTTATGGCTCATAGGATGAAAGGAGAGAGTATCTACTCATACTCGTTTGAACAATTCGGAGGCGTAAAATATGCAATTTGATGCAGTTTCTGATACTTATATGTAAAATATATATATAAAATCTTTTCAGGATTAGTAATCACAACATTTTTTCTTTTGTCAAATCAACTTAAAAAAATTATTTAGTTCAGATAATACATAATTTTGAGTTTCTGATGATTAAATCATTCTCCTTCGTTGTATTAACACACTTTTTCAATTTCAATGAACTTAAAATTTTAAGGCAACCATTTACTTACTTTATTAAGTTAAACCAACAGTATTTTTTTTACTGTACACACAGCTGCTAAATATGTAAGTGTCTGTTGTATGAAAAATGACACTGAGAACAGAAACCTCGAGACAGATTTAAATGAGCAGAAGCAATGATCTGTTAATGAGATCAGTGCCACTTAATTGGGCTAGGGTTAGGGTTAGGAGCACACACACTGTGCTGCACTGCACTGCCTGCTGATTTAGGGGACAGAGATGAAGAAATTAAACGGGGCCGGGGAATAGCAGAACAAGGACTTTTTGGAGAAGGACAGGGGGGACGTCGCCTGTCCTCAGTGCGTCACATGTTCATGTATAAACAGGATGTGTAGGAAGCCGTTCCCCTGGGGCAGCACCTCACACACCCCTCGTCCACCGGCCCACTCTGACCTTTCACACAGGGACAGAAATAGACGTTCTTGTTCGGGCCTGCCGTTCACTCCTGATTTGGATGTTGAAATTGGATTTAGAACTTATATCTGTATTATACAAGTTTTTTTTTTTTCATATTTCATGTGCATATTGTGAGAGAAAAGCTTCATTATTGGATGTTCATAATTATACTGCCTTCTAAGGTGAATATTTTTTGGCCTAAATGTCAAAAGGTGGTCCCATAATGCACTGCAATAATTTCAGTGAAAAAATCCACCCAGAATGCTGGACAAAGCAGACGGTTTTCAGTCTGATTAAATGGTGGACTGTTTTACACAGTATTTGTGTGTTATGTATTTTTATGCTGTTACCTAATGCAAAATGCAAAATTGATTTTAATGGTAAATTGACTCTCCTGTGTGGATGGCTAAATCTGAGCTACTCGTACCTTTAATTTAATTTAGTAAAATATCCAACCATGTTCAACTTTTAGCAAAACATGTAATACTCTAACATTTGAAAATTTTGGCTTTGTAAGATTTTTTTGTTTGTTTGTTTTCACAGAATTTAATACTTTTATTCAGCAAGGATGCGTTAAATTGATCACAAATGACAGTGAAGACCTTTTCAATTAAACATTGTTCTTTTAAACTGTCTATTTGTAAAACAAATGTATAGTAGTAATAGGGTACTTCTGGCCATAGTGTATAGTATACAGTGCATTTGAATGTGTGTGTCTCTTGTGTCCAGCAGTACCAGGACACGAATATGCAGAGCGTCGTATATGAGCTCAACAGCTACATGGAGCAGCGGTTGGACACTGGAGGAGACAACAAACTACTGCTCTATGAGTTGTGCAACATCATCAAAACAGGTCAGAGGCCTTTCTGTCTCATACACACACACAAACACTGAAAGAGCCTTAATAATTCTTAAAGGATTACTTCACTTCAGAATTAAAATTTCCTGATAGTTTACTCACCCCCACGTCATCCAAGATATTTATGTCTTTTTTCCTTTAGTCGAAAAGAATGAAGGTTTTTGAGGAAAACATTCCAAGATTTTTCTCCATATAGACGACTTTAATGAGGTTCAACAGGTTGAAGGTCCAAATTGCAGTTTTAATGCAGCTTCTAAGGGCTCTACACAATCCCAGTCGAAGGAATGAGGGTCTTCTCTAGCCAAATGATTGGTACTTTTCTAAAAACAATATAATATACACTCACGTTTTCATTAATGCAATTATCTAACCAACCAATCACATGGCAGTTGCTTCAATGCATTTAGGGGTGTGGTCCTGGTCAAGACAATCTCCTGAACTCCAAACTGAATGTCATAATGGGAAAGAAAGGTGATTTAAGCTATTTTTGAGCGTGGCATGGTTGATGGTGCCAGAGACGGGCCGGTTTGAGTATTTCACAATCTGCTCAGTTACTGGGATTTTCACGCACAACTATTTCTAGGGTTTGCAAAGAATTTTGTAAAAAAGGAAAAACATCTAGTATGCGGCAGTCCTGTGGGCGAAAATGCCTTGTTGATGCTAGAGGTCAGAGGAGAATGGGCCGACTGATTCAAGCTGATAGAAAAGCAACTTTGACTGAAATAACCACTCGTTACAACCGAGGTATGCAGCAAAGCATTTGTGAAGCCACAACACGCATAACCTTGAGGCGGATGGGCTACAACAGCAGAAGACCCCACCGGGTACCACTCATCTCCACTACAAATAGGAAAAAAAGGCTACAATTCGCAAGAGCTCACCAAAACTGGACAGTTGAAGATTGGAAAAATGTTGCCTGGTCTGATGAGTCTCGATTTCTTTTGAGACATTCAGATGGTAGAGTCAGAATTTGGCGTAAACAGAATGAGAACATGGATCCATCAGGCCTTGTTACCACTGTGCAGGCTGCTGGTGGTGGTGTAATGGTGTGGGGGATGTTTTCTTGGCACACTTTAGGCCCAATAGTGCCAATTGGGCATCGCTTAAATGCCACGGCCTACCTGAGCATTGTTTCTGACCATGTCCATCCCTTTATGGCCACCATGTACCCTTCCTCTGATGGCTACTTCCAGCAGGATAATGCACCATGTCACAAAGCTCGAATCATTCCAAATTGGTTTCTTGAATATGACAATGAGTTCACTGTACTAAAATGGCCCCCACAGTCACCAGATCTCAACTCAATAGAGCATCTTGTGGTGGAACAGGAGCTTCGTGCCCTGGATGTGCATCCCACAAATCTCCATCAACTGCAAGATGCTGCTATCAATATTAGTCAACATTTCTAAAGAATGCTTTCAGCACCTTGTGGCGAAAAGGGGTCAAACACAGTATTAGTATGGTGTTCCTAATGATCCTTTAGGTGAGTCTATATACTTTTTAACCACAAATGCTCATCTTGCACTTGCTCTGCGATGTGCCACACATTACGTAATCACATTAAAAGATCATGCGTGTTCCATTTCTCATTTTCTCCTTCAACTTCAAAATCTACGTCAGGTTTTAGTTCAGTATGTAAAGTTTTGGTTCAAAATGTGTTTTGGTTCAAACCTTAACGAAACATATATTTTTATTCAAAGATCAACAGTCTGTCATTAGTCTTTAGTCTGTGGCCACAAAAAAAATAAAAAAATAAAATAAAAATAAAATATACTCAAATGTCATGGTGAAAAAAAGCCTTATACCAAAATTATTATTACAACTAAATTGTCTGTAATTAAATAGGAAAACGAAATAATTTTGTAGATGATTTGCTTCAAGTGTAACCCAACATCAGACATTAAGGCCCGTCCAAAGTATTTTTTTTGCACACAGTGACGCCACCAATCAATCACTTAATGCTGCTTTTATACCAGATGCGAAGAGCGCGTCAAATTTGCCCCATGAACACTTTGAATCCATTCACTCTTGACACGCATAAAAAAAACAAAAGTTTAGACTTACACATTCACTGTCCTCGCGGCTGCGACTGGTGCAACTTGAGGGGGCTGGGTGCAGGACGACTCAACTTCCACGGACAGTTTTTAATGTTTTATATTAAGATTTTGCTTAAGTATATTTCTCGGGACAATTAAAGCCGGTTTCGGGTTTCAGGACAACAGCTTAGATTTCCGGACTGTCTCGAATTTTTCAGGATGTCTTGTCACCCTAATCACACGTGACCTTTCAATGTGATTATGTAATGTGTGGCGCATCACAGCTGGTTCAAGATGAGCATTTGTGGTTCAAAAGTAAATTAATGTTTTGTTTTTTTAAATTACTAATCATTTGGCTTGATAATATTTTTATCTAAAAAAATTTAAATTTTTATCGAGTCTTATTCCTCGGCTGGGATCGTGTAGAGCTGTTAGAAGCTGCATTGAAACATCTTGGATGGCATGGGGGTGAGTAAATCTGAAATGAAATAATCCTTTAACTGTTCTTATTAATATTATAAAATATTATCATAGTTAAAATGTTATAAAAATGTTTACCAACTGACACACTTATGGATATAATATCTTAGAATTAGGCACCAACAATAACAAGTTACAGCATTCACACGATCCTCATAAACAACACAGTGCTCCGAAGCAGAAACATGAACGCAACTGCCAGCTGCCAGTAGAGAGCCTTACAGATGAAGGTGTTGTGAATCCAGGTTAAAAGGTCTAATTATGGGTGTTCCCCATCTCTCCACACACACACACACACACTGATTGAGCAGCGCTCAACCTGTCACTTCCAATCCACCCACGCTTCATCTGCATGACGAACACTGCAGAGCGCTGGGATTCAGTCCGGCCCCCTGCCCTCTCACACACGCCAAACTAAAAGCATGTGCACACCGGTTTCAGAAATTAACAAATTTTTCTATTAGGGAGCAATATTTGGATATAGATTTTCAGGGTCATTTTGTACCTTGATGAGGTACCATAGTTGTTTTTCAACTCTATAGACCATTTCACAAGATGTAAACAACACTGGTCCAGAAGCACTTCCTGTTTCAGTTTGTAACTGTTTTCTTTATTTCACATGTAAAGAAAACATCTTATAGATGTTTGTTTAACTTTTTGATTCAGTTTTAAATGTTCTGTTGGTTGTATTTTATCCCAGCTTTTATGTAGTGTTAAAAAACTGAAACAGGAAGTGCTTCTGGACCAGTGTTGTTTACATCTTGTGAAATGGTCTATAACAGAGTATATAACTATATAACAGTGTTCTGTCCATTTATGCCAAATACTTATTAATCAGTGAAGAAATTCTCTATTTTTCTATATATCGCATAAAAAATTTTGAATGGAAAAGCCAAGTTGCGTATACATTCTAAAAATGCACATTAAAACAATTGAGGCAGTTCTTTTTTTTTTTTTTTTTTTTTTTTTTTTTTGTCTGATAAGAAGACATCCGCATAATCTACAGTAGAAACACTTTTACCGAATAATACGCAAAACTCACGTGACTTTGCCTCAAAGGATGTGATTGGATAACTGGACTAACCAGCGGATCAGTTTAATTGCACGGCTTCTCAAATGTTGGTTTGATCATTCTGAAATGCCTGAGCCAAAGTCTGTAATCAGAATTATTTAGTTTAATTCCCTCTTAGAAGCGTCTTACATAATTGCGTTCGCATCTGAACGCAAGATAACATGACAGCTTTTATTGCGTTTCATCTGCTGAGACGCAAGTCATTTATGATGTAGGATAAAAGAGCCACAGTGGCTTCTCTGGTTGCAGCTGCTTCCGTTTTACATTTGAGATATTTTGCGGCAATTTCCCAGTAAGTGATGATTTTGTACTCTTGAACACATGGGATTGAATTGATGCTTTATTCGCAAATGTTTTGTGCGATATTCCAATTTTGAATGGAAACATGGCTAATGTGAAATAAGTGATAAAGCTTTCAAATTAGAAGACTTTAACTATTGTCATTACTTTCACTGGTCATTTTTTTTTTCTTTTTTTCCATTGGAATACTTGGATCTTCTTCAAAAGCAAGATGCATTATATCTGTTAAATATTAGCCATATGTATTTGCACTTTGCTATATTTTCCTTCTAGAAATGCCATGTTGAATCTCTGGGCCCATTTGTGTCTTGTTAAATTATGTTGGAATGTCTAAAACATGATACAGTACATCATCCTGTTTTTTTGTTTGTTTGTTTGTTTTTTCACAGCCACAAAAGCTGATGGATTTGCACTTTACTTCCTTGGAGAATGCAACAATGTAAGTATTTTAAGTTCTGGTTGAGTTGATAGATGTTTAAAATTGTTTAGTGGATGTTGACATTAAGATATATAATCAAAATCAAGTGTAAAGTCATTAAAACGTTGATTTAAGAAAGGATATAAATCTTTTAGTGACCAATTAAAAAAAATATTTTAGATTCTTTAAAGAAGCCAGTTTTTGCCTAGATGCTTAAATTAAACTAGGAACAACCTATATTTTGCCAACAAAACTAATTTCTAAGCACTGAAGCATTAGAGGTCTTAAGATCATGAGAAACATAAACTCAGCCAATTGAGTTCAAACCTTTGATTGGCCATGCACGTGTTCTGTTTGTCTCAAAATGGCCTGGAATTTCTATAGCATTACAAGTCTTGAGAACCCTGCTATGTTCATTTCCTCTCTTTTATCCACTTGAGTGGTTTTGTTTGGATGACTGACTAGAATTGTGGCCAATCAGATAACTAAGTTTGAAAGGGCTTCTCTTTTGCCTAATCGGACTTATTCTGTGAAAATGGACACACCAATCAATTGTGATTTTATTTTTAATAATTTGTCTGCTATGTTCATTTAATAATTATATGACTGTCAGCTTTAGTGGGTACAGCTTGTCTTAAGTTTAAATGTAATTGTTGTCCATCTTATGAAAGGATTGTTAACCGTTTTTAGGCCAATGTTTTATTTTAGCCAGGGTACAAATATGATATAGTTACAGTGACGAATCAAGACATTTTCCTTAACGTCATGCTGTTTTGTTGATGTTGCTTTCCCTGTCACAGAGTTTATGTTTGTTCACTCCAACGGGGGCAAAAGAGGGGCTTCCTGGGCTCATCCCCTCTGGTCCCATCACGTTTAAGACCACCATCGCCGCTCACGTTGCAAAGACACGCAAGACACTACTTGTAGAGGATATCATGGGGGTGAGCCACATGCTGTTTTCACTCATTTCAAAGATCCTCAAAATTATTCTACTGCAGCTTAATTTAACAGTATTAGCACTAATAATTCTAATTGCTATTTCTACTATTTTAGCAAATATATATTTTATAAAATTACCTAAAGTGGAGGATAAATTGTAGCTACTCTGTGTAATGCCAGATCCAGTTTGTCATACACTGGGAGCAATTAAACTGCACACCATCTTAATTGTTCAATAACATGGACTATTCTGTTGTGAGCTTCAGCAAAAGTTAAATGACAGTAAAATATGTTGTAAAAAATCCTTTATTCTTAAGAAATTCTCATGGTAAAAAGTCTGACTTTGCATGATTTATTTTAGAGTATTGTTTCTCAACTGTGGGGTCGCAAAACCCAAAGAACAAAAAAACTACAAACGAACTACAAAAGAACTACAAAAAAAAACTTATTTCTAAAATATATTCTAATTCTACGTCAATTTTAGACTGTTTTGTGCCAGTATAAGGCCAAACATGCTAAAATCTGCTTCAAAGTTTTTTCCTCTTCCACTACCCATGATGATGGGGTGGTCAGGGTGTTCGTGGGGATTCCCCAGGGGGCAGTGTGCAGTTGCGGTTCATGGCCACAAAATGCTGCCACCTGGTTCGGATCATCTGCAACTTCCATCCAGCACTGGTGCTGCTGGACAGGCCGCCTCTGCAAGGCGATGGCCACCCTGCAAGTCTACCAGGCCAAAGCACTCATTGCACAAGGGCAGGTCTGAGCCAGGGTTGATGCTGGAACTGTGCAGGGCGACTGACCTTGATGAAAGTCTCATCTGTCAAATAATGTCTACCTTGGTGGTCTAGAAGCACCCTCTGGATAGACCTTGCAGAAATTGCGAGATGTCGATAAAGTGCACTTTCTCGATGGTCCCATCTCACAAGGTGGCCTTTGAATGGCCTTTGTCTAGCAGTTCTACTTTGGAGACAAAATGATGCAACAAAGCATCCATTTATTGGCAGCCCAGCAGGCAATTGTTTTCAAAGTTCTTTGGCTTAGGCCCAGTCCATAGGTCGTAATCCGAGAGTAGCGGATCAGCATTTCCTGCCTGAAGACGAAGGCAGGGGCGCAGCCGACCCCCCAGGGAACTATAGACGGGACCATCTTGGTGGTGGTGGGGAGGGTGGAGGTTGTTGTCGTGTCGTCATCTGCAAACTCAAACATGTGTAAGTACCGATCTTTTATACGACAAGAATAAGAACGTGATTGGATAACCTGAAGGTAACAAGTGACGCGGTAATTAAGTCTTCCTGGAAGAACTTATGCTAAGCTTTCATTTCTCTGCAGTCCAGAAGCAGGCTGACACTATCAAGAGCCTGCCCTGACATGCTACCACACAATCTTGAGCTACCCAAGGGCATCTGTCAGCTCCATGTTGCTGTTAATCATCCAAACGGTCGGCAAAACAACACCCATGAGACGGGTGCCCCGGAGATGGCGGGAGCTGCTCTTACCTGGAGGAGGGCCGGGTACAGATTCTTCTGCTGCTTCTTCAGAAAGAGTTTCTGTTCCGCCACTCTATTCCTCTGGTCCGCTGCACCTGAATTCTTAATAAAGACGACCAGCTTCCTCAATCCCTGGGTCAGGAGAAGTGCGGTTTGACAGTTAGCGACGTGTCGTGTCGTGCCACTCTCACCCCACACTTCTTTCGCCAGCAGGCAGGAGTGCGAGGAGTCTCCAGCCACTCCCTCGCAGGAACCTTGGAGCCTGGTAAGTGTTATATCACACTCACAACCTCTACACTGGGACATTGTGCCTTTTGAGCCAGGTCCCTGGGCTCCACCTCGCTGCCCCACCATGGGTTTGTGTATAGTTCCATTGGTGTGTCTTGCTTGGGGTCTGGGGGCTGGATATTGCTCCCCAGCCTGGCTCGCTGGCTCACTCGTACAAACAGACTTGACTATGCAATTCAGTTTGCCTGGTGCCTCGGGCTCCTGGACAGGACCTCGACTGCAGTGGCACATCAATTGCCTCGAGTTGCTAGCTGTACGGCTTGCTCTGTGCCGCTTTAGATCGCTGCTACAGGGCAAGCATGTGCTTGTCTGGACAGACAACACTGCGGCCGTTGCGGATATCAACTATCAAGGTGGTCTACGCTCCCGTGGCATGTTGCAACTCACCCTCCTTTGGAGTCAGAAACATCTGAGGTCACTTCACACCATTTATTTTCTGGAGGAGCTCAGTCATGCAGCCTACAACCTCTCATGACAGCCCACATTCCCAGGAGTATGGAGATTCCACCCCTGGATGGTCCAGCTGATTTGGACTCCCCCACAGGGGAGTTCCCCCACCTGGCGCACCCTGCATTGAGTTCCTCCAGCACCTTGCAGTCAGACATGGCGGAGGCATCAGACATTAGATGTAGCACTCCTGTGTATGCCCAGAATGTCAGCCCCTGTGCTAGACTTGGTGATTCCCTTACGGATGATCCCACATGTGCATTCTTCCATGGTCCAGGTTCCCTTTTGGCGAGCCCGTGCCCACCCTGCCATCTCTGCTTGGTATTGACTTCACCCTAGCTAGGCTGGGTCCACCACAGAGCCCTTCCATATGTAGCACTGCCCTAATGGTCAGTCCATATGTGTAATCTCCACGTTACCTACAGGCAGGACATGTTCTCCATAACGTCCCTTTCCCAAGCACGCTTTCCCAATGTTATCCAATATCTCGCTGTGTGGGTCAGAAGGAACAGCAGTGATTGACACTCTCTCTGCTTTAAAGCCCTGTCCTTTCTCCACCCCAGCAGGTGTGGGGAGATTTGGCGGCTCACGTGGGGCACTGGAAGGGCAGCATTTGTGGCGTTTTGTTCCCAATTCGTCAATTATCAACCTAGACGTTCCATCCCAGGGAACGTCTAGGTTGATAATGTGACCTCCATTGACTGAAGGAGGGAACGGAGACGTTATGTCCCATCTCCACGATTGCTGTAGCACCGCTGAACAGCCAGGACACACCGTCTTGGCTCCTCAGCGCAAAACTTAACTGAGCGAGTACATCCATGCTTCCATTCATACTCGCTTTAGCAGGGCGTGGTTCGCGATGAAAATCTCGCTCACCAATGTCCGTTGGCTGCTTTTGTTTACACTCAATGGTGATTGGGGTCTCAGGGGAGATACATTGATGTTTTGTTCATAAATTACACACACCCATACCAAAAACACACATTTTCAAGCAGTTTTTTTTGTGAAAAGGTATGATTCTAATAAGTAACTAGATAAGACAGCTTTGGGGGTGTGAGTGTGTGCAGTTTACACTGTAGAACAAAATGTCTAAGACTCGTCAAATTCTGTTTACCACAAGCTTTATTTCACTCATAAATTGCAATCCCCAATATAAAACCCCAAAGCAAAATCTTGAAGGAAGATCCGGGTTCTGACGTCATCCCTCACCACTCTATTCTAAAATTATTTTCTTAACTTGTTAGGGCCGATTCAAACTGTATGTGTTTTTGTGGTCAAAATGAAATGCATACTGTACAACTTTGTAATTACGATGTTAGTTACCAAAATTACCAAAAATCAATAAAGTACTTAATTGGTATGTCGCCTGTTAGCTGGAAAGATTTGCGTGCAGGTTTGATGTGCATTCCGTTCATCAGGATCAGTGTCCACACCATAACTATATTTGGTCTCTGGCCTTCTAATTTAAACCATCTTTAATTTTTAATCATATGTATACAAAGCTGTAGGAATATGAGCATTATGTGTAAAATGTATTTGATACTCTAAAACAGTGGAGTTTTTTCCAATGATCATTAAGCCGTGACCCAAATATTTAGGAATTTTATATACAGTAGTTATTTAAAGCAAACTTGTAGTCATTTCGATACAAAAAAAATTTAAAAATGGACTGTGAGTCTTAAAAAGTCTTTAAGTCAGAGCAGAAAGTCTTAAAGGAACACTCCGACTTTTTGGGACTTTAGCCTATTCACCTTACCCCCCAGAGTTAGATAAGTCCATACATACCTTTTTCATCTCCGTGCGTGCTATAAGTCTGTTTGACGCACCCACCGCTAGCCTAGCTTAGCACAAAGACTGGATGTGAATGGTTGCAGCTTTCATACTAATCCAAATGAGTGACAAAATAACGCAAACGTTTTCCTATTTACATGTTGTGGTTTGTATAGTCACAGAGTGTGCAAATATCAAGGCCATATGAGACACAGACATCTTTTGACCGTATAAATACTATATTTTCTGAAGGGGAAGCACTGCTACTTGGGCAGAGTGATAACAATCACCTGAGACGCACCGTGACGAGGAGCAGAGAGTTCGCTTCGCTCAGCGTTGGAATAAAGAGTCAGCAATTACTAACGTTAGATAGAAAAGCATAGTTTATCATGGGTGTTTGCTTTATTGTATGAGCTGTGACAATAAACAGGGGAGACCAGGTAATACAGTACCATGTTTCATTGATTTCCAACCAAAAACGCACCCAGATTTATAAATATCACATGAATAAATAATTATTATTACAGGAATCAATATATTTTAAATGCAATTTATTAGCTGAACCAAATGTATTCAACAGTAGCCTATATAATATACAGTATTGCATTACTATAGGATAGAATAAGGGGAAAGTAATAGCACAAATTGTTTTTGCACAATGACTCACAGCCTATCGTACCCTTTTGCACGCTCAAGTTCGTTATTTCCATGGTTATTTCAAATTTAGGCTAGGCGCGCCACTCGCAGGGTGCAAGTTCAACGCGCGCAACGCGCTCGTTTTTTTTTCCCAAGCGCGTCCGCACCGCATCAAGATAAAAACATATTCATACCCTAATCATATAATAGTGTCACTAACGTTACATTAGATCTGGCTAAAGGCACTGTTACAGTAGGTCATCTAAAAACATAACGGAACACTTACCTCAGCCGCAGGTCCACTTGTCCTGTCTGTGCTATCGATGGGATAGCCGTATCCTTCAGCACATTATGGTCCGTGTGGCAAATTCCATTTTTTCAAAATAGTCGTCCTCATTGAAATGTACCGAGCAAACATAATGTCCCTTGATAATCTTAGGTGTGTTTGGATAAATATCCAGAGTAAGTTAGCCATTTCTTCATCCAGTCAGCGTTTTTAGTTGGAATTCTGTGAAACATGGTATTACCTCCCCTGTTTACTGTCGCAGCTATTTACAATAGAGCGAAAACCCATGACTCTAAACTACGCTTTTACTATTTATAAATTGCTGACTCTATTACCCAAACACCGAGCGAACTCTCCGCTCCTCACCACGGCGTGTCTCCGGTGATGCGGTTATTACGCCGTCAAAGTAGCAGTGCTTCGCCTTCAGAGAATAGTTCCCAGGTTTTATACGGTTAAAAGATGTCTGTGTCTCATTTGACTTTGTTATTTGTACATTATGTGACTATACAAATCACAACATGTAAATAGGAAAACGTTTGCGTTATTTTGCCACTCATTTGGATTAGTATGAAAGCTGGAACCAGTCACATCGAGTCTTTGTGCTAAGCTAGGCTAGCGGTGGGTGCGTCAAACAGACTTATAGCACGCACGGAGATGAAAAAGGTATGTATGGACTTATCTAACTCTGGGGGGTAAGGTGAATAGGCTAAAGTCCCAAAAAGTCGGAGTGTTCCTTTAAATTCACAAAGTCATTGAGTGTTGCATGCTTTGCCCTGTTTTCCTGTACAAATATCTATTTAAGTTTAAATTAAGATACATTTACTTTAGATGCAAATTTTGACAAAAAACAAATGAACAAAATTAAGTGAGTTTATGCTTAAAACAAGAACAAATATCCGTCAAAATGTTTTATTTGTACTGGAGAGCAAGACAGAAATACTGAGGAAGAACACAATAGCAGTGTGATCAGAAGGTACAGTAAAAGTTATTTCCACATGGTAACACTTTACAATAAGGTTCATTCATTAGTTTACATTAGTTAACTACCTTAGTTAACATGAAATAAGAATGAACACTGCAGCATTTACTAAGCTTAGTTAATATTAATTTTAACATTTACTAATATGTTATTTAAATCAAAAGTTGTATTTGTTAACATTAGCTAATGCATTCTGTGAACATGAACAAACAATGAACAGCTCTATTTTTATCATCTAAAATTATCAAAAACTATAACTAATGTATTGCTTGTTAGTTAATACATTAACTAATGTTAGCTAATTAACCATTTGCATTATACTTAATATATACATTTACACTGAAAACACATATTGATCTATTGTGTTACCTTCACTTTATTACTAAACCTTTCTTTACTTGGTCTTAAAAGGGTCTTAGACAAGTTTTAAATGTCCCTTCATAAAATATGCAGAAACCCTGTTAAAATAATTTTAGATAAACACACAGACTGACTGATTGATTTCCCTGTGTGATCCCTGTGTGCTCTTTTTTTTTTCCTGTAGGATGAGAGATTCCCTCATGGCACAGGGCAGGACTCAGGGATCCGTGTACATTCTGTTTTGTGTCTACCCATCCTCACCGCCATCGGAGACCTCATCGCTATCCTGGAGCTGCACCGTCACTTGGGCAGAGAGCCCTTCAACCTCAGCCACCAGGAGGTACTCTAAGGGAGAAAGAGCTGGTATTTTTTACGTGTAGTGTACCCATGTGGCTCTGCTCTCAGTTCTTTTAGCCAGGCTGCTCTTTTTCTTCAGGACTATTGAAGGAATTCAAGGAACCAGACCCCTAACTTTAAAAATAAGAGATCTAAAAGATAAAAGTCTTTTCAAAAAGACTGTTGTTTGGAGAATTTTTTTCAGTCGTTTCAATAGGAATCCCCGCGATTTGGAATTTCGTGTGATGGACAAATGATTTCCCAACGCAAATTTCGCAAAGGGTTCAGGTTTTTCAAAGTTTCCCAATGTTAACCAACAGAAAGACGCTTGGTTTGAAGGTGACTTCTGTGGTGGCTGTGGTTTTTACATTGCTACGCAATGGATCTTTTTTCAGTTATCTTAAATGGGTGGTCCTATCTTGTTCAGTACAAGTTTCAATATGGACCAGACCAATTTACAGTACATTCGAAGTAAAGTACATTATAAATGGTTTGGTTAGATCCTTTGAATAGTTCTGTTGTGTTATTTCATAGTTTGATTCCTTTAATGTTATTGGAAAAAAGGGATGGCCAACTTCCACTGTCCTGCAGAATTTAGTGCCATCCCTAATCAAACACACCTGTCTGCAATATTTAAGTAAACCTAAAGACTTGGCTATGCCTACATACAGTTCCCGACCGTTCCGGCACCTCAGATAAATAAATAGATTCATTAATCTCAACGAATCTCGCTGGTACCGAGATTGGCCGACCGACTGACCAACCTCCCTTCCTCCCCGCGGAACGCGAGCGATTACAAATGCGTGAAATGCACTCACGGTGGTTGAGCGTGGTAAAGTTAGTTTTAGGTTCGATATATTTCGCCTGACATTTGTTTTCCCCTAGCCACTGTTCTATAGACCTTATGCACCAGAGAAATGTGGGTACTGTCATCTTTGGTATATTGTTTTTGAACTTCTGTTTTTGGGTCTTACAAAGATATCAATAGTAGGATTAGGTTTAACATTATGTAACCATTGTATATCGACATGAAATATTCGTTCGAAATCACCATTATGTGCATTAATGCTGCAAATTTATACCTGAGAATGCTTTGACGCGTTTGCACAGCACTTGATGAGGGAACGTCTGCCAATTCCACCAACTGCGTTAAACGTAGCCTATAATTTGAATTATTTAAAATTACTTTTCAAATTCCAAAGCTTATAGAACGTTCCTTGGCAATAGGTAACGTTAGCTGAGTAAATTAAGAAAATGATTCATAAAACATAGAAATATCAGTTAAGCCTATATTTACTTTTTTTCACTGACACAGACAAAAATCAGTCAAAGTTCAGCTTTAGGAGGGGAAGAAATTGGCCAGGATAAGGAGACTGAGAAAAAGAAAGATGTAGAGAAGGTATTTGACAAAAATAATCGAATGGTTTTTTAAAGCTATTTGGGCCTTCAAAAGTCTAAATTGCACATTTGTAGGTCAGAGAAATCAAAAATTTCTCGGGGGAGCATGTCACCGAAACCCCCTAAATATCACATTTTAATGCACATGTCTGTGGGTGGGGCTGTGGATGATAATTATACCAAAAAGTATTGCTATACCACAATACTCGATTTATTGTCCCACGGTGAACCATTTTTCCCTGTTGCACCAAAACAAAATTTTAGGGTTCCCCCACCTGCCAAATCCCACTTTAACCACTGCTTACATAGTGCACTATTTGAGGGGACAGACATTTGTAGTGTGTCCATAGTGGACGTTGCACTCATGCAATCCCATAATAAACCTCAATAACAAGTGTACAACCAATGTACACAAAACAGCTAGCTGCTAGAAAATACCCGTGCCCTGTGAGCACTGCGCCAAACAAATTCACTGAATGAGGGTAAAGTATACGCTGATTTCACGCAGCCGCCATTTTGAAATCGAAAGCGATCGAGGCTTCGGTGGGAAGAACCCCGGAAGTACAGATAAACAGCAATGCCTTGGACTACCAACCTGAAGCTTCTGCCGCAATTTACACTATTGGATGTGTAAAGGGTTAGTTCACCCAAAAATGAAAATTAAGTCATTAATTACTCACCCCCATGCTGTACCAACCCCGTAAGACCTTCGTTCATCTTCGGAACACAAATAAAGATATTTTTGATTGAATCTGAGGGCTGGATCACTCTTCCATAGACAGCCTGAGGGACTGCCTCTTGACGGCCCAGAAAGTCATTAAAAGAAAAGGTTTAAATATTCCATGTGCCTACAGTGGCTCAACTATAACTTTATCAAGCGACGAGACTACTTTTTGTGCGAAAAAAAAAACGTAAATAACGACTTTATTCGGCTTTCCATTACTTCCTTATGGGCGCATGCGCGAGAACTGAGACGAGACCGTTCTTCTTCGACTACTTTTTGTTACCGGCTGCTCACCTCTTAGGAGTTTTACCGCCCCCTACCGTATAAGATGACGTACTGATATAGCCGGAGGCGCAAAACGTTCTGTTTACAAGCAGTACGTCATCTTATACGGTAGGGGGTGGTAAAACTCCTAAGCGGTGAGCAGCCGGTAACAAAAAGTAGTCGAAGAAGAATGGTCTCGTCTCAGTTCTCGCGCATGCGCCCATAAGGAAGTAATGGAAAGTCGAATAAAGTCGTTATTTACGTTTTTTTTTTCGCACAAAAAGTAGTCTCGTCGCTTGATAAAGTTATAGTTGAGCCACTGTAGGCACATGGAATATTTAAACCTTTTCTTTTAATGACTTTCTGGGCCGTCAAGAGGCAGTCCCTCAGGCTGTCTATGGAAGAGTGGTCCAGCCCTCAGATTCAATCAAAAATATCTTTATTTGTGTTCCGAAGATGAACGAAGGTCTTACGGGGTTGGTACAGCATGGGGGTGAGTAATTAATGACTTAATTTTCATTTTTGGGTGAACTAACCCTTTAATGTCCAATATGGGATATGTAGCTCGTTCCTGCTTCTTTTTTTACGTTCTGAATTATGTATATAAAAAAAAAATTATTTATAAATGAATTTCACTAATGTAAAGTATGAAAGATATGAATGTACATTTTTAAAAGAATGTAGAATTGTGTTGTACATTAAACACAACAATATGCCATCGCATTCGCTACTCTCTTATGATTAAAGGTGACACTTCCAGTTTTCTTCCCACCAGAGCCTCGCTTTCGATTTCAAAATGGCGGCTGCATGAAATCAGTGTATAGGGGGCGATTTCCATAGACAGTATAAGAAGTGGACAGCACCATCTCATTGGAACTCCATAGAGACAAGTGAAGCCCGTTTTTAGCGATTTTTTTATTTTGTATTTATTTATTTTTTTAGCACTTCCGTTCCTGACGCGCAGACTCAACCCGACTCAAACGGAGCTTGACGACGTATATGACGTGAGCAACCCGTCTGTCTTCTAGTTGCTGTGGCATGAGAAATCTGAATCATTCCCTTCCGAAACTTGCAGAGGCGGAGATGTCCATGAGCTAGGAGCAGGAGAAACTTTTGCTAGGTATTCTGATTAATTATTTTGTCATTTTGCCTCCACGTTTCCCCAATTGCGCGCAAGCTTCTCCTCCTGTCCATACGGCAATCTCTCTACTGCGCGACAGAGAGTCGCGTGGTTATGACGCAATCGTTAGCCTACTTTTACAAAAAAAAACTGCTTCTACGGGGCCATAACCAGCCCGTTCTCATCCTTTAGCGTCATATAGAACGCTATATGATAAAACGGCGCTATACTACGCACATGGCACCCTTTATCGTTAATATTCACTCGAACCCAAGGCGTCATAAATCCTTTTGCGTAATATGAGACTACCCTACCCCCCACCTAAACTTAACCATCACAGCGCGTGTTATATTAACGATAACGGGTGCCATGTGCGTAGTATAGCGCCGTTTTGTCATATAGCGTTCTATATGACGCTAAAGGATGAGAATGCATTGGCCATAACGTAAGCTACAAGTAATGGCGCATTTTATACATTGTCGTGTTTCTTTAGAAAGAAATAAAGGACAAATGGGGTCTTCAAACGCCTCCAATGTAAATTTATTTGCTGTCAAAGTGACGCCAAAATGAATGGAAGTCAATGGAAATGCTAACGCAAGTGAAGTTCTGCTACAAGATGGCAGCTCCCGCGAGGCTTCAACTTCCGGTCGATGGATTACCCCCTTGGCGATTTCAGATACAGCCTCATGTTAGATTTTTCAGGTGTGTTTGATTAGGGATTGGAGATCAACTTTGCAGGACAGTGTCCCTTCAAGACCGGATGCAGAAGATGCAGAAAATCATAACAATAAATTAATAAATTGTAATTATATTTTGGCTAACAAGACATTCAACTGAGCGAGGCACACAGAACTATGAAGTTCTTTCTGCCTATGGAGTGCTGCAGGACCGTCTATTACTGTACATCTTTGGCTAAGTGTAATATGTTTTTTAGGTTGCAACAGCAAATTTGGCCTGGGCATCTGTAGCCATACACCAAGTTCAGGTGAGTATGTTTGAAAAAAAAAACAGTACATTGATTAAACCTTGCTTGCTTGACAGTTCGGTTGCATTAGCTTTTTGATTTGGTTGTACACATGTGTTTTGATCTCTGTAATCCACTGTGTACATGGATCGGGTTGGCCCAGTGTAAGCAACCAGACCACACATTCAAACACACCCTCGTCTCAGGAGGTGCAATTAATGCGGTCTTGTTTGTACTTAAACGAGGGAATGACAACACTCTGGGTTTAAAGGTCCCTGTGCATCACAAAGCTCTCTGGGAGTAATGGTACATGGTCCCGATAAGCATAGTAGACAAGGAAGACAATGAGTAACACATTTTAATGAAAGGGCTTAAAGGAATGGATCATCAGAAATTAAATTGAATCATTATTTAATTGTATTCTGAATATTTTACGCAGCTCTTTTCCATACAACAACAGTTCTTTGTGGCTATCTGTAATTCTCCAAAACGTTCTCCTCTTAGTGTTCTACATTAAAAAATAGCATCATATGGGTGAGTAAATGATGACTGAATTTTTATTTTTAGGCGAACTATTTCTTTAGGGTCTGTTCATCCAATTTCTTGTCATCATCTAACAACTCTAGCTGAATTATGTATGATTTATGTAGGACAAAGGCCTTTTATAGCAAAAAAAGTAGATGAAGCAGTCAGTCTAATTTTTATTCAGCAGATTTATAGATACAAAACGTTTTAAAAGTTTAATGGATTGGCTGGTGATCAACATGATCGGTAATGCATGGAATAGACTTAGAGAATAATTTCCAAGAAGACAGAAATATCAGTTCAGACACCGACTTGTGGTGATTGCCATCTTTAAACTTTCCTCTTTTGTTCACAGGTCTGCAGAGGTCTCGCCAAACAGACAGAACTCAACGACTTTCTTCTAGATGTGTCAAAGTAAGCGAGTTTATGCCTAGAAAGTCAGTGAGTATTGGAGGAATCTCATGAAATGTGTGTTTAGTAAAGTCAGGACGACTGATTGGACGGAGTACATGCATGTTTGAAAACTGATAAACTGATCCTAAACCAGCCAGAATTTTGCCCACAAGACCAAGACAATTTTTATCCTCACAATCCAATTCAAAACCATCCAATCTGGCAACACTGGTTAAATAGTCATTAAATACTTTTTGCGCTGTGTCATTATTTTCAGGAACCTTAGGGATTACAGTAATTGGTAGGAAATATGTTGTACCATGCAAATCCTAAAAAAAAAAAAAAATCTTAATCTTTAACCCTTTCAGTATTCTTTTTATTTTTCTTGAGATTCCTCCAAGACCTTCTCCATACTTGAATGTTTATTGGCTTTAAACATTATAATAAATAACCAATGTCCTAAAAAAATAAATGCATTTATTTATTTTCCATTTAAAATGACAGGTGTTTCCCCCTTTTCAATTTCAAACAGAACGTACTTTGACAACATAGTGGCAATAGATTCTCTACTTGAACATATCATGGTGAGTAGGTTTTCCCTCTCTCTATAGGGTCACATGCTTGGTCATGAGGACGAACACGCTGTTCTTCTGTCGTTCATCTGTGTCACCGTCAACGCCAAAGAGATTTGTGCTTTGAAAAAACATCTCTCATTTGTTTGCCATATTCTGCGAAAAACCCCTACAAGTCACAGCTCACCCCACCAGCCTTGGGCTTGTTGTTAAATGTTCTTTTTCTCATTGACTCACATGTTTGAGTTCTCTAGGTCTCACTTCCACACACACACACATACAAACGCAAATATTCATACAATCCAAGTTTTTCAGACCACTGGCCCCCTCATGTCTCTGTCATGTTGAGTAAAACAGCACGGGAAGTGATTCAAATAGGTCAGGGAGAGGACAGCCATCTCTCTGAGCTCTTGGCTCCCCTCTCAGGGACTAATTCAAATATTACCTCCGGTTTTGAAAGCATGTCCTTGGAAATATTGAAGTAGTTAAACGTCTTTCTTAGTTTCAAGAGATTTCTCACTTGTCCGCAGTTTCATAAAGCAGAAGTTTATCTTGGAGGAGATGAGACGCAATGTGTGACCAAGTTGTGAAATCCGGAGGGAAGAACAAGTTCCTCAGTTTCTAGTTTCACATAGACACGTGTATATTGGTATATCAGAGTTTTTCAGTAATATACTCCACAAATATATTAGAATTTAATGACTGAAAATGAGATGTACACATATAAGATTTAATCAAAAGTCATTGATAAAATCATAAAAACAAATATATTATCCATCAACATGGCTTACTGCAGATTAATATGAATGACAAAACAAATTGCGCTTATCGATGCTGATGAACTCACTGCAGAGATGAACCACACTGTAATAATGCTGTTAACAAATTGCGTTGTGGAGAAATGTCATTAACCCTCCTATTATCCTTGGGGTTAATTTGACCCCATTCAATGTTTAACGTCTGTAAAAACATGATTTTAATTTATTTTTTTTGCTTCAAATTTAATGACTTCTCCTAATTTAATGGGGACAACTCTGTAAACATAAAATGAACCTGCTAATATTTTTTCAAAGTCCTCTACAAATTTTGTAACATCGGTGTTCCTTGGGGTCAATTTGACCCCAGGCTCTTTTAGATGTATAATAAAACAGAAGAAATATTAAAATTTCACACACATTTGTTTTGGTTGTTATATTGAGGTCATTATAACATGTTATAATTTGAATTTGTAATGTTCATTGTATTTTTACATATTCAATATCATTTTCAAAAAACGTCCCTCTGTTTTAGGGCTCTAACCAAACATAACCATATCTGTAGTATTGCGAGAACTACTAGTAGTTCACATGACGTGACATAATTCTCAAGATAACTATTCTTTCCTGTGCATTTGGGAGGGGAAAACATCATTTTTGTGAAAAATGTGATGTTTCCCGTGCCATGGTGGAGGAGAAAACATAATTTTTGTGAGATTGACCCCAAACATAACTCGTGTTACTATCCTTGATAAAATAAATAGTTTTTCTTTCCAAATGTCATAGATTACATAAATCTATACTTAGAAATATTATAAAACAAATAAAACACCAGATGTATTTATACTTTTCCAATTTTAGGTAAAATCAGTAAGATTTTATGTTGATTTGTAAATTTGTCCATAGTCGTGCAATGGGTATTCTGGATGAATAAGGGGTTAGGTGGGGTGGGGGGTGGATATCAACTTAAAACGTGACTTAAGTAGTCAACAAAGACATAAATTAACTGAGACAAACCTTTGTAAAAAAAAAAATAAACATATTGTGGAGGTTTAAATTACTGGGGTCAAATTGACCCCAGAGGGTAAAAAGTGTTATCAGATTTAAGGGTAACAGGGAAATAAGGAAATGCTTGTTTATTTGTGTTTCAGATATATGCAAAAAACCTGGTTAATGCGGACAGATGTGCGCTTTTCCAGGTGGATCACAATAACAAAGAGCTGTACTCTGACTTGTTTGATATCGGGGAGGAGAATGAAGGGAAGCCCGTCTTTAGGAAAACCAAAGAAATTAGGTGAGCACCCAAAGTTCCTCACACAGTCATGTTGGATTCTTTACGTAAAAATGTAGTTGAAGATTCAAGGAGTTACACAAGGTCACAAAATTAAGAACTGACTGTTGTCGACCGTATCTGTATAATACCGGCTGCTCGATGATAGGCATCATGGCATCAACGTGTATGCTCAGTATCCTTTATTTAGAGTAATGAATGAGACATTCCTTTGTTAAAAATAAATGTGCTTAATTAATGCATTTAGTTGTTTGTTTATGTTTTTTATAAAAAAAAATTATAATTTTTGCCCCTGACATAACATGACCAGTTAATATCATTTCACTATTCATATCTTCAGCACATGCAGACTGATCTCATTAAAAATTGCGTGTGTATGACACGCCAATTCGTATTTCCATTTTTGGCGTGCTATCAACACGCATAATCGGTTTTCAGCGTGTTTATGAACGCCGTTGACTTAGCGTTATTACTGTATATATAAATATATCACCAACCCCAACCCCGTCCCTAAACCTACCCGTGACTGGGGTTAATACCATTTATGAGTCTTTCCCTACCATCCTACCACACGGATGCATGCGAATAGTTTAAAATGCGTATAGATGACAGACACGCCACTTGACTTGGAAGCAGCGTGTATGTTTACGCAAAAGTCATGATGTTATGTTGGCACAGGGGAAAGTGTGAACAAGTACTAGTAGTCGGTTGAAATCCCTCGTTAATTCCGATAGAATTATAAGAGCAGACTGATTGCCATTAAAGGAGGGTTGCCAATCCAATCATTGTGTTCTTGAGTTAGCAATGGTTACCTTCGAAGTAAGACGTGCAGTCATCACACTTCTTGCATCCGGCGCAAATGACCAGTGGTGGAATGTAACGAAGTACAAATACTTTATTACTTTACTTAAGTACATTTTTCACGTATCTTTACTTTACTTAAGTAAAATAAATAGTGCCTACTTTTTACTTTTACTTCGTTACATTTTGCAGCAATTATTATACTTTCTACTCCACACATTTCTACAACTTCCTTTACATTTTCATTACATTTTCTGATCAGTTTTTCCCCGGCCAAAGCGTAATTTGACCGTCCGTTCGTTGCACGTTTGTCTCACCAGTGACGTTTGTTTGCCATAGATATATCAACCCGATCACACTAAATGCGTCTCGCACGCAGTGTGTTTGTCGTGCAATTTATACGCGAAAATTGGTTTTTACGTGCATAGGAAACGCACTTTGTGTAATATACAGGTGCGTTCCATTCGACAGGGTCCCTACGCAGTGTTCACTGCTCCCTACTCCCTGAACACGGCATATCAGTTGAAGTGGACTTCACTGACTTCCTGTGAAGTGATGTATCGATGTTCCCTTATTCCCTATGCCGTTTGCAGTGCCCTTCGAACTGAACATGTTTGTTCCCTTCGAATTGGAATCTCACTTAAGATGGTGAAATACCCTGTGAAGTCCACTTCGCAGTCCACTAACGGTCGAATGGAACGCACCTTATGTTTGGTTAGGATTATGGCAAGCCAAGAGGTTCAGAATTACACCATAAATTAATCACGTTTACTGCAAAACATAGTTATTAACATATAGTAAGGATAAGCATGATGTGTAGCTATATTGCCTAATTGCAAGCTTGTTTCAGAAATGATGACAACATTTTTTTTTCCATCATTATTGAACATCATTATAGGAGTATTAAGTTGAATGAGTTAGAATTAAATGTTTTATAAATCATTAGAAAATAGACATTAAGAGAATAAATTGTTATGCAAGTACATTTAAAATCAGGTACTTTTTACTTTTTACTTAAGTATGGTTGTCATTGTGTTACTTCTACTTTTACTAAAGTAAATATTTACCTGGATATTTGTACTTTTACTTAAGTACTGAGATTCAGTACTTCCTCCACCACTGCAAATGACTTTTTACACTGACGCATGTCTCATTCCTATTTTGCACCTGCGCAAAGCGGGCTTTTCCCTCCACAGACGCATGCCGGTAAACTAGGGAATGAACTTGCGCTCCTTGGGCGGGTCAGTGCAAAAAGGAGGCGTGTTTCGCCGCAAATACTGTATATCCTAGTGCTATTTTGCAGTTCCAGAAAACAATTCCGCCACTGACCAGAAAAAACCTGGTCTAAAGTCAGTGGCGCGTTGCGTGTTGTTCATAATGTTATTTTAAGCGCGCATGCTTGGCCATAATGTGGCGGGTGCACAACACGCACACACTTTGATTCTCTCATCAACACAGATTGTTTTTATTTTTGCAAATCATACATTATAACAAGGAAAAATATTAACACATCATTGTGGTGTCCATGAAGATGTAAAAATCCTTACACATTTACCCAAATTTTTCAGGCTAATTGTAGTAATGATGAATCAGACCTGTTTGCCCAATAGTGGCAAGACACATATGTATATAAAGACATCTGAAAAAAAAGTTTGTCCGTCAAGAACTAGAAAAAATTAAATAAATCTGAAGACTGCGAAATCACCTGATAAATCCGCCATAATAATAATAATCCGCCATGCAACATGCGCACCTGCTCTTAAAGGACATGTTGGATGATGCTCTGATTGGTTTATTTCACGTTACGCCCAAACCACACCTATGAATAATGAGGCTATTTCAAACCATCCCCTTTTAAACTTTTGTGCCGAGCGCAAAAGTCATTTAACTCGCCGGTAAAATAGCAACAGCGCCCGAGACAGCTACTAAGTTACTTGCGCTTCACGCTTGATAATTGCATTTCAGATCGTTAAAATAGGGCCCTTTGCGTCAAAATGGAAAAGAATTTGAACAACAGAAGGACAGCAAAGAAGTCACTTCTCTCCAAAAAAAAAACAAAAAAACATCAAGAACAGACTGTAATTCTGCAGGAAGTACACGGATTGGACAGCAGAAGACTGGTGCAAAGTTATTTTCACTGATGAAACCACGTTCTAACTGTTTGGGACATCTGGAAAATCGATTGTCCGGAGAAGGGTGCGACTTCGGGACAGCCATTAAATGTATCCGTGGCCAGGCAACTCCCCGGATCTTAACCCCATAGAGAACCTGTGGTCAATCCTCAAAAGGAGAGCTGACAAGCTGAAGTCCACAAACTGTGATCAACTTTGATCGCTAATAAGGCAAGAATGTATCTCTATCAGTCAGGATTCAGCTCAAAGGCTGATTTCCAGCACGCCAGAGCCAATTGCAGAGGTTATGAAGAAAGGTCAACGCTGTAAATATTTGCTCTTTGCACATACAGTATGCATGTTTTTGCCAATGAAAGCGTTTAAAACGTATTTAAAATGCTTAGCATTGTTTTCAGTATACCAGAAACGTGAAAAAATGATCTCGAAATACTGAAGCAAAACAAACTTTGTCACTGCCAATACTTTTGGCCAAAAACTTCAAACTTAAATGTATATTTTAAAAATCTGTACTTGCAGATTATATAATATTAATGGAATAAAAGGCCTTAAAGATAGTACACTTTCATAACTACCTTTCTTAACAAAATGTCAAATACGTCAGATACGATTTTTGTTACTTTATTCAATAAAGTTTGATCTCAGATAGGTATTGTTTGGCACCACTGGATAGAGCTCATCGAGACCTTTATTTTGATATAAAGAACTCCTATTTGCCCAAAATGCCACTTACGCCCATAGATATGTATATAAAGGCTAGACGTGTCGTCCGCGCTGCTGGCCAATGGAGGTCGACGTCAGCACCTGGGGGCCATCTTGTCACAGGTAGCTCGCTCATTGGTAACATTGTTTTAATGGTGCATGTACTTTTTAAATCACCGTAACTTGCTCAATTTTCTACCGATTTTCAAACAGTCTGGTTTGTTATAAACGGCAGAGATGTAGTTATGATACTGCATACTTATGAATAATAAGTGTATAAAAAATAAATAATCATCCAGAATTATAGCCACGTTAATAATGTTTGTAAGAAACCAAACCGTTTGTAAATCCGTCAAGATTTCAACGAGATAAGAGTATTTCTTACATCAGATACCATAGAGCCCGCCAGAAAGCCCGTCTGTGACAAGATGGCCGCCGGTGATGACGATGGAAACTCCGCCGTAACACATCTAGCCTTTATATACATATCTATGCTTACGCCCCTCTGGCTCCAAGCCCTTTATAATGCACTTCAAAAAGTCGTCAAATTAAAAGTTTTACTTTAAAGGTACATTTTAAATCATTATGGCTTAGTAATATTTTATCATGCTTTAAATAAGTATGCTTGATGTGTTGACTAACATAAGCAAATGCAAAGTATTGAACTGTTGCATTATGTGATATATTTAATATATTTTGATTAAGCTTCCTTATTACAAATGTGTTAATTACAAATATATTTGAATACATTACATTGAACCGACTGGAGCTGTGAGCTGGGACTGATTTATTGATCGACTGACTGACAGAGACAGACAGTTTGGACAAAAAATCACAATGATCGTAAATGATTTCGTGGTGAAATGTGACCTGGACATGTTTTCATGAGATTCACTCTTGAATATCCGAGACTAAGCATACATCTATACTGGTAACTGAACTAAAACACTCACCCCCAGGTTTTCTATAGAGAAAGGTATAGCTGGTCAGGTGGCACGAACAGGAGAGGTTTTGAATATTCCGGATGCCTATGCAGACCCCCGTTTCAACAGGTAATAAACATTTTCATTTTCTATTGAAATCATCTGAGATTACTTTAAGCCATTTTGTAAATAACCATGCTCTACAATTAATAGTTAAAGCTTGATGAATGAGTAAAGTAACATAATACACAGTCACTGCACTGGCATGTTGTTCGAGGACTGTTGGAATTGTAAAGTTACAGTATCATGGCAATGATCCAGGTTTTGTCCATGATTATTAATTAGCAGGGTGAATCTCACAAAGCCTTTCATATGTCAAATTTTTAACCCAAGAAAGAAACTATGGTATTTTTTTTACAATGGTGCAAAATATTCTGATTTTCATTGCACTAATGTGGATGTTCATTACTCACATGCGTATTTAAATAAAATATTTATGCATCATGCTTTGTTGTGCTGCCAATATAATACAGTATATAGTCCTCAAATAATATGAGTGTATTGTTTAGTTGGACATATGGACACACAGTGGTTCTAGGTGTTAAAGTGGACATGTCAGATGAAAGGAGCTTCTGGATTTGTGTAAATCTGGAATAAGATGATTATGCTAAGACCAGATGAGCCAGCGCTAGAACCCGTTGTGTGTTTAACTCAATCCCTTACTCACTCATATACAAGCAAAGCAAGCACTATGGATGTTCAGCTCTTTGTATGTGTGCATTTGTTCTGATATTTACAGAGAAGTAGATCTCTACACTGGCTACACGACGCGGAATATCCTGTGCATGCCCATAGTCAGCCGCGGGACTGTGATCGGTGTTGTACAAATGGTGAACAAGCTGGGAGGAAGTGCCTTCACTAAAACTGATGAGAACAACTTTAAGATGTTCGCCGTCTTCTGTGCTTTGGCCTTACACTGTGCAAATGTAAGTGCGCAGACATGTAGCATGACCTGGAGTCTAATAAACACATCTGTCGGCAATAACATCACACCTCTTAGAGAATGGGAACGTTTGGAAGAAACGGGCCCTCTCGTCTCGTCTCGTCTCGTCTCATAGCAGATTTTAAAATGACTGAAGCATGGTAATATTTATGTTAAAGGATTAGTTCACTTTTGAAAAAACTTTTGCTGATAATTTACTCACCCCCATGTCATCCAAGATGTCCATGTCTTTCTTTCCTCAGTCGAAAATAAATTTAGGTTTTTGATGAAAACATTCCAGGATTTTTCTCCATATAATGGTCTTCAATGGGAACCGGATGGTTCAAGGTCCAAAAGATAGTGTTAATAACAGTTTCAGATGCAGCTTCAAATGTCTTTAAACGACACCAGACGATGAATAAGGGTCTTATCATGCGAAACGATCGGTTATTTCAAAACTTATTCCAAAAATGTAACTTTTCTAAGGACAAATGCTAGCCTTGCTCTATTCTCTGAGGCGCGTTTGTAACGTCACGTAATACGTAATTACGTTCAAAAGGTCACGGGCGACGAAGCCGGAAGTACAGAATCAAAATCGTCCGACATCGTTGTTTTTCCTTTTAATTCCTTTTTTTGTAAAAGGTGTTTGAGTTAGTTTGCACATTCAACCTATGCGTTCAACTTGTAAACACTGACTCTGTACTTTCGGCTACGTCGCCCGTGACCTTTTGAACATAATTACGTATTACGTGACGTTGCAAACGCGCCTCACAGAATGGGCTATATGCACGCATAAGTTCCGCATTTGACGTAAGGATGCTCGTCCATTTCCGGTTGTGTAGATTAAAGCAGAGGAAAACCGGAGAAAATGGGATTATGGCAGAGTCTTCAATATTTACTGTCCTCCCGTCTTTGAAATGAAACGTACATACGTTTAGACGTAATTTTATATATAGTTATGTTTATTTAATATAATTTTAAAAAGAAGCATAAATACAACGAGGGGTGTCTGTTTTATCTGTTTTTGTGACTAACGTTTCATTAGTATAACCATGGAGTATAAAATTCAATATAAATTCTCGGTATTGCATTGGACTCTATGATCGGCGGAAGTTATCGAGCATCCCTAATGCTTCACCGGAAATAACGCCGTGCATAGAGCCCATAGAGCAAGGCTAGCATTTGTCCTTAGAAAAGTTACATTTTTGGAATAAGTTTTGAAATATGCGATTGTTTCGCATGATAAGACCCTTATTCATCGTCTGGTGTCGTTTAAAGACATTTGAAGCTGCATCTGAAACTGTTATTAACTGTCTTTTGGACCTTGAACCATCCAGTTCCCATTGAAGAAATTATATTTTTTTTTTTATATTTTTTATATAATTTTTCCCATTATATGGAGAAAAATCCTGGAATGTTTTCATTAAAAACCTTAATTTCTTTTCGACTGAGGAAAGAAAGATATGGACATCTTGGATGACATGGGGGTGAGTAAATTATCAGCAAAAGTTTTTTCAAAAGTGAACTAATCCTTTAATATTAGTCTTGTTTAGACCGAATTCGACACCTTTCATGCAGTGATGTGAATAACGGCGTTATAAATAAACGGCGTTACTAACATTACCGTTCATGACAATAAAATGCGGCGTTACTATAGCCTAATTGGGTTCACTGAAGCAGTTTCCATCCGAGTAGGCTCTCTCTCCACCATAGGAACTGCAAAGTTTTTTTTCTCTGGTGTGTGTGTGTGTGTGTGTGCGCGTGTGTGTTTATGAGGTGCCGAACTGGACTGAAGCGAGGCGAACGCCGCGAGCACACGACAATGCGCTAGATGGAGTGTGTCCGAGAGCGCGCTCTACTGCGCGAGAGAAACCGAGTGTGTCCGAGCATTATATAGTTTGTTTATAAATAAATTACAAATTTCAGCATTAGAATAATCTCTGTAGCCTATTGGTATCATCCGTTTTATTTATTTACATGGTTATAGAAATAAAATCTAAGAATAACCTGCAGGGAACGTTCTGGGAATTCGGGTTCTGGGAGCACTTCTTGTTAAACTGTTTATCATTTTGATTTTCACTAGAAAAAGTGTATGTATATTTTTATTTATTATTATTTATTCATTTTTGGTACATTTAAGTATATTTTTTTAGACTTATTTGTTGGCCAGTTGTGGTCTGTGCAATATTAAATATTAAAAGTTCTAAACCTAAACCTAAAATTATGTTTTATTGTTCTAATGATAATATTTAAAATATTAGTTTAAATAATAATTAAATTAAAAATAATAAATTATATATATATATATATATATATATATATATATATATTAGGGCTGTGCAAAAGTTAATTGCGATTAATCGCATCCAAAATAAAAGTCTGTGTTTACATAATATATTTTTGTGTGCTGTATATAATTATTTTGTATATATAAATACCTATGCATGCATATATATATATATATATATATATATATATATATACATAAATACATAACCTATATTAAATAAATATTTTATATATGAATAAAATAATTATATACAGCACACACAAATATATTATGTAAACACTTTTGTAAGCAATTTTTGCACAGCCCTAATATATATATATATATATGGACTATTTTTTATTATTATAAATTATATATATATATATATATATATATATATATATATATATATATATATTAGGGCTGTGAAAAAAAAACTTTTTTTTAAGTAGTGCAATAGTTACTTTCCCTGGTAATTAGTTACTTTTATAATGATTCAACTCAGTTACTAACTCAGTTACTAATTGTGAGAAGTACGGTGTGTCCTATAATATGGCGACGACTACCCAGAATGCAATGCGTAACGACGTAGTTTCCCATTCTCTGCTGTGATGTGAGTAACAAGTTGTTGTCGTGGAAAGGTCATTGCCCTTGCCTTTCGCCAGTAAGCAAGTCATTAGATATAGTGAGATGTAGTAAATATTATGTAATATCAATATTAATTTCATTTCAGCAATTGTTATTAACCCTCTGGGGTTGTTCGGCCCAAATGGACCCGAAGAATTTAAATAAATTTTTTTTTTAAATCACAGCTTCCTCGGAATGGTCCGAAATTTGGTGACTTTGTTGATATTTGGTATTTGAAGACCCAAAAAAATTGGGGACAGGATGTGAGTAGTCTAAGTGGTTGTAAAAAAAATAGTCACACTTGGGGTGTTCGGGTCCAAATGGACCCACATGGAAAATGAATGGGAAATTGGCACAAAATTTGAAAATACTGAGTTTTTTTGTGCGTACAATCTACAAATCAGCAACGATCTTGAAAAAAAGCACACAACAGTGAAGGGGTGAATCTATAAAACATCAAGAGTGCAAAACAGACACGTCCAGACACACATACACATACACAAACACACTTTTATACACAAACACACCAAAAAATTCAGATTATACATGTGTTTTGCATTTTTAAAATGCTCAGTTTGTCCACCAGATGGCATCCATCTCATTTCAAAAATTGCTTTTATTAGGCCTAGGCTTGACTCTAAAATGAAATACAGCTTTAAAAAAAATTTAAAAAAATATTTTTCTATTATGTTCAATGGGGGGAAATTTTGTCATAATTATTGCTTTAATACTAATTATAATTTTTTTTTATTTTTGAAATTTTCTCAAAACACCAAAAAAGAAAAGAAAAAATATTATAAAAAACGAGTAAAAAAAATAAATCATGATTTTTGTTTTTTTAAATATGAATCCCGCCCTTTGGGTCCATTTGGACCCGAACACCCCGAGTGTGACTCTGAAACGAACAACCCCAGAGGGTTAATAGGTTTTTACTATCATGATAAAGTGTGATATAATTTATATCGGTCATTTGCCACCTTGCCCTCTAAGGTATTGACCATCAAAAAATTAATATCAGTCAACCACTACACTAAAAACACTGAACAAACATAGAAGATTATAGAAATATAGATAGATAGAAAGAAACCACAATATTTTCAGTGGGTTAGACTGTTTTGCATTTATATTTTGCATCCGCGTAAACACATGGGGTGTGTGTTTGTATGTAGATGTATCACCGGATAAGACATTCAGAGTGCATTTACCGGGTGACTATGGAGAAGCTTTCGTACCACAGCATCTGCACATCCGAGGAGTGGAAGACCCTCACACAACTCTCTCTCCCTGCTGTCATTTATAAAGAGATTGAACTGTGAGTTTACACTTTCATACATCCAAATCACTGCTACAATGGCTTTCAGTAATAAATCAGTTAAATAGCTGTAAAATAGGCTCTAAAAGCATTGGGCTGGACATTAGTGTTATATATTACAGTTAAGAAAGTACATAAACTACTTGTTCAGATTATTACTACAATAAAAACATTTTTTCATATAAATATTATCATAGTTCTGTTACCAACATTTAATAAAAGCAATAAGGCAGTCAAGGTTCAGCCTCATGTTGCTCATTGTGTGTTTTTTTTATATCACAGATGTGTATTTTATTTATTTCAAATATAAATTATTAAAGTGTTGTCATGATCCATAGCAACTAAACGTGCATATTTGTTTGGTGTTATTATTCTCATGTGTGGATAAGTGTGCATGATATTCGAGTGCTGTTGTAATCAGGATGTATTGACCATTCGTTTTCATGTTTCACCTGTACAGATTTGAATTGCAAACAAACTGTCATATTTCTGTCTAAGGTTTCACTTTGACATTGCCCCTTTTGAGGAAATGTGGCCTGCAATATTTGTATACATGGTTCACAATTCTTGTGGGAAAAGCAGGTAAGAATGTGTACATTTATATAAGCCCTGTGTGTTTTATCTATCTGTCTGACATCTATCTATCTGCCTGAATGCCCATGTCTACCTGACCATTTAGCTGTCTGTCTGTCTATCTATCTCTTTGTCTGTCTGAATATCCATCCATCCATCCATCCATCCATTGTACACTCACCTAAAGGATTATTAGGAACACCTGTTCAAATTCTCATTAATGCAATTATCTAATCCAATCTCCTGAACTCCAAACTGAATGTCAGAATGGGAAAGAAATGTGATTTAAGCAATTTTGAGCGTGGCATGGTTGTTGGTGCCAGACGGGCCGGTCTGAGTATTTCACAATCTGCTCAGTTACTGGGATTTTCACGCACAACCATTTCTAGGGTTTACAAAGAATGGTGTGAAAGGGGAAAAACATCCAGTATGAGGCAGTCCTGTGGGCGAAAATGCCTTGTTGATGCTAGAGGTCAGAGGAGAATGGGCCGACTGATTCAAGCTGATGGAAGAGCAACTTTGACTGAAATAACCACTCGTTACAACCGAGGTATGCAGCAAAGCATTTGTGAAGACAACCTTGAGGCGGATGGGCTACAACAGCAGAAGACCCCACCGGGTACCACTCATCTACACTACAAATAGGAAAAAGAGGCTACAATTTGCAAGAGCTCACCAAAAATTGGACAGTTGAAGACTGGAAAAATGTTGCCTGGTCTGATGAGTCTCGATTTCTGTTGAGACATTCAGATGGTAGAGTCAGAATTTGGCGTAAACAGAATGAGAACATGGATCCATCATGCCTTGTTACCACTGTGCAGGCTGGTGGTGGTGGTGTAATGGTGTGGGGGATGTTTTCTTGGCACACTTTAGGCCCCTTAGTGCCAATTGGGCATTGTTTAAATGCAACGACCATGTCCATCCCTTTATGGCCACCATGTCCCCATCCTCTGATGGCTACTTCCAGCAGGATAATGCACCATGTCACAAAGCTCGATTCATTTCAAATTGGTTTCTTGAACATGACAATGAGTTCACTGTACTAAAATGGCCCCCACAGTCACCAGATCTCAACCCAATAGAGCATCTTTGGGATGTGGTGAAACGGGAGCTTCGTGCCCTGGATGTGCATCCCATAAATCTCCATCAACTGCAAGATGCTATCCTATCAATATGGGCCAACATTAAAAAAAAAATGCTTTCAGCACTTTGTTGAAACAATGCCATGTGGAATTAAAGCAGTTCTGAAGGTGAAAGGGGGTCAAACACAGTATGTTATTAGTATGGTGTTCCTAATAATCTTTTAGGTGAGTGTACTGAAAGATTAGAAGTCTGGGTCTGGGATCAGAGTAGAACAATACAACATAAAAAATACATCTGAAAAGTAGCAAAAATAAATTACTCTGATATAAAAATATTTAAATCCATTGTCTTTTGCAATTTTGGACATAAAAGTGTGTGTAGGTGAAGAAACACCGGCTTTGACAAGGCAAACGTGTACACTCACACTTTCTTTGTGTAACAACAGCTTTGAGCAGGAGAAACTGTGTCGCTTCACTATGTCAGTGCGGAAAAATTACAGACGAGTTCCATACCACAACTGGAAACACGCTGTGACGGTGGCACACTGCATGTACGCCATTCTGCAGAAAACCACTGGGATATTCACAGAGCTCGAGGTCAGTGTCATTCTCATAATAGCACTTCTTACAGTAAACTTACAAAAGAATCATTTCACATCAGAGTTGTGTTGCGAAAGCTACTTTTGAAATAAACTAAACTATGAGCTACACTGTTAGACCTTACCAGGTTTTATACAGTAAAATACATTTACTGTAAAAATGCACAAAAACTAATAAGTTGTATTTTTTAGTTAACTTGAGTTTTAGTGCATTTTTACAGTAAATTACTGGCAACAGTGTTGTAAAAATGCACTAAAACTAATAAGTTGTATTTTTTTAGTTAACTTGAGTTTTAGTGCATTTTTACAGTAAATTACTGGCAACAGTGTTGTAAAAATGCACTAAAACTAATACGTTTTTTTTTTTTTAGTTAACTTGAGTTTTAGTGCATTTTTACAGTAAATTACTGGCAACAGTGTTGTAAAAATGCACTAAAACTAATAAGTTGTATTTTTTAGTTAACTTGAGTTTTAGTGCATTTTTACAGTAAATTACTGGCAACAGTGTTGTAAAAATGCACTAAAACTAATAAGTTGTATTTTTTAGTTAACTTGAGTTTTAGTGCATTTTTACAGTAAATTACTGGCAACAGTGTTGTAAAAATGCACTAAAACTAATAAGTTGTATTTTTTAGTTAACTTGAGTTTTAGTGCATTTTTACAGTAAATTACTGGCAACAGTGTTGTAAAAATGCACTAAAACTAATAAGTTTTTTTTTTTAGTTAACTTGAGTTTTAGTGCATTTTTACAGTAAATTACTGGCAACAGTGTTGTAAAAATGCACTAAAACTAATAAGTTGTATTTTTTAGTTAACTTGAGTTTTAGTGCATTTTTACAGTAAATTACTGGCAACAGTGTTGTAAAAATGCACTAAAACTAATAAGTTGTATTTTTTTAGTTAACTTGAGTTTTAGTGCATTTTTACAGTAAATTACTGGCAACAGTGTTGTAAAAATGCACTAAAACTAATAAGTTGTATTTTTTAGTTAACTTGAGTTTTAGTGCATTTTTACAGTAAATTACTGGCAACAGTGTTGTAAAAATGCACTAAAACTAATAAGTTGTATTTTTTAGTTAACTTGAGTTTTAGTGCATTTTTACAGTAAATTACTGGCAACAGTGTTGTAAAAATGCACTAAAACTAATAAGTTGTATTTTTTAGTTAACTTGAGTTTTAGTGCATTTTTACAGTAAATTACTGCCAACAGTGTTGTAAAAATGCACTAAAACTAATAAGTTGTATTTTTTAGTTAACTTGAGTTTTAGTGCATTTTTACAGTAAATTACTGGCAACAGTGTTGTAAAAATGCACTAAAACTAATAAGTTGTATTTTTTAGTTAACTTGAGTTTTAGTGCATTTTTACAGTAAATTACTGGCAACAGTGTTGCCAGTATTTTACTGTAAAAAAACTGGTAAGGTCTAACAGTGTACTAACAATAAGTTAGCCTAGGTAACCGTCCAGAAACCCTTAAAGTCATAGTAATCTTACTCTGTCTAGCACTCACATGTCTACCTTCCAGCATATCACTCGGGGCAAACGTCATATGATGCAATTAATATTCATGAACCAAGTAGTGCCTGGCACAGTGTGCCGAACCGCTAAACAACAAAGACCTAATTGTTGACTAAAATGCAATTGTAAGTGATGTTTATGGAAAATGTAGGTTTTATGCTTTGACATGATATCTCATTTCATTTGAGCCTATTCATGGCAATCTGACATTAATGTGACAGAAATGTGATTTATAAAATAAATAAATTATTAAAATAAATTTATTTAAAAATATTTATTTATATTATATTATATTTATATTTATTTATTTAAAATAAATAAAAATAATTAAAAAATAATAATAAAAAAAAAGAAATGTGATTTTGAGAGGCCGAAGAGACTTTGTATTTTAAAATATGTAACTAATGAAATATTTTTTTTATGCATTACAGTTTCTGGTGGAGGTATCTCATTTAAATATTAGTTCATTTTATTAGAAAAATAAACATTGTAATAAAAACATTGTAAGGAACAAAAGTATCTAACTGAAGTTTTCCATTCTTGTCTGATGGAGAAAGTAACTTGTAACAGATAAAGCTGCTCTATTATAAAAACACACACAAGTTACAGTCCCTTCACACGGAGCACGTTACCTTTAAAGCTTTAATAATAATTCTACTAGCTATAACGACACGGAGGAATGATAACACTTGAATTCCTTTTTTTCAGTTGATGAAAGATAAAAACATTGACATTTAAAGAGCTCGAGCATTTAAAGCTACAGATAACTACAGCACACACTTATAATAAGCTGAACATTATCACCTGTTGGTGTGGATGGTGTTGAAGATATCTCTTTATAGTTATTTTTCTTGGTTTGAATGGGCCTTTACTGTTAGTAGCTCCTTATAATAACTTTCTTGCTCGCTCACACAGAGGAAAGGCTTGCTGATAGCCTGCTTGTGTCACGACCTGGACCACCGTGGCTACAGTAACAGTTATCTGCAGAAGTTTGACCATCCGCTGGCCGCCCTGTATTCCACATCCACAATGGAACAGCATCATTTTTCACAGACGGTGTCCATCCTGCAGGTAAAGCTCCTACACACTGTGCCAGCTCAGAACGATAGTCTCAAACATGCTCTGTGTGTGATTACACTCACACTATATACAAGGCAAGTGCCTGCAAGCCAATTTTATATAAGTTTAAAGGTGCTATATGTAACTTTTCTTCTAAAATGAATCCTTTTTTTAATTTTTTTTTTTTTTTTGCTATTACCTCTGAAGGATAGTATTCCTATTTCTATGTGAAGTATCCGGGTCGGATTTTCTGCGAAATCCATCGGATTTGACGTGCATGTGCGCTCCCGATCCACTCTCCTTTCATATACAGGCTATGCAACGGCACGGCAACTGATGACATGAGTCAGATAACACCAAAACACTCCTCCAGCACAACACACACTCCAACACAAACTCCACAGAAATATAAAAAAAATAATAAAAATATATCTGCTGAAGCTCGTCAGGCCAAACGTGAATCGGACGAAAACACGGATCAACATCAGAGCGTTTGAATTATGGAGAGACCTCCGCTATTTTTATTGCGATAAATTACAAGTTTTCAGATATGCTGAAATAAATAATGGTAAACTGTAATCAAATAGCAAGGTAAACTACAACATACATGAGACATGAAATGAACACAAAAGACTGTTTCAGAATAAGAAAAAGTGGTCCTAACGTCACTCATCCCACTACCATATTGTTTATAATACACATTTCCAGACACGTTCAGTACAGTAATGTTACTATACAGAAATTGTTCAGTCTAGTTCACTAACCGTTTTCGTAATCATATTATACATTCACCTATGTTGACATTGCTGATTGTGAAAGATACATGAATATTTAGTGAAATGCTTTATGCTAGATAACACCACAAATGTAACGTTATCATGGTACGAGCCTGGAGCATTAGTTCAACGTCAAGCTGATAAAAGTAGCCTATTATTGTAACGTTGCAGTGGGAGTTTACATGAGTTTCCAGCATGTTGTGTGATGCTTTCTCCGGTGTGTTGAAAGCCCTCTTGTAAAAAGTGGTTGCAATCTGAATCATCACAGATAGAGGGCGCTAAAAAATACATATAGCACCTTTAACTGACACAGCCATTGAAGAATCTAAAGGAGTCTGTGCACCATGTCAGTTAAACTTCTAAAGGCACTGGCCTTGAATATGATCTCAGTGCTAGTTGTATCAAGCTACAGTTTTACTAAATACTGTTATATCAGAGCAGAACTTGCTGGAACCACAAACTTTATTATCTTTTAGGCAAGACACCCAAGGTGAACAGGGTGAAAAAAAACTAACTTGACTATATTGTTGGTTAAATACATTTAGAATTGCAAATATTTTGTTTGCCGTGTACAGGTTTTATGTTTACATATCCAAATGAGGCAATATCTAATTAAATATGCACTATTTTGCATATACTTACACTAGATATAGCCAGATTTTGGATATCTTGGTTTTGGATATCATAAATTAGAGTCAAAAGGAAAAAAAATCTTCATGTTTTAAGAATAAAATAATCTCAATAATAGGGCCGAGACGAGAGTTTGGAATACACAGCAAAACCAACTAGCTTAACTTTTATACATTTGAAAGGTCCCGTTCTTCATGCTTTTTTGAAGCTTTGATTGTGTTTACAGTGTGCAATATAACATGTGTTCATGTTTCGCGTGTAAAAACACAGTATTTTTCAAACAATTTACTCTGTATACCGCTGTTTTCACTGTCCAAAAAACGGCCCGATGACTTCATAGAACAAGGAAGTCCCTCAGAAAAATGTAACGAGTTCTGATTGTGCCAGCGCTTCCTGTGTTGTGATTGGACAGCAGCTTATCGCACGTTGCCTGGAAAGGTCATGCCTCTTACCATAAATAGAGAGCCTAAAGCCTTGTTTATACTCGACGTGTCCGCAAGAGCGCGAAGGGCTCAAAAATGAGGTCATTGCGGTGTGGGCGGTCGTGCGCGTAGGGTCCGCAAGACCCCATTGCGCCTAGCGGTGTGCACGGCACTTTTTGTAACTTTGCGCGCGCCGCCGCATCCGAAGATAGACGACTACGAGCCGAATCTGGCCGAACTGGTACGATCTGTACCAGCATGTTTATGATCCTTCTATACACAGAGACATTTGCATTGATGGGTGACCATAACATCTCATTTTGTGAACAGGAACACATTTACATTAAGCACCTAGTTTGCACTTGTCTAAAGTAATTGGTTACATCTACAAAATAAGCCTACAATAGCAGAATTAAAGGGTTAGTTCGCCCAAAAATGAAAATTAAGTCATTAATTACTCACCCCCATGCTGTACCAACCCCGTAAGACCTTCGTTCATCTTCGGAACACAAATAAAGATATTTTTGATTGAATCTGAGGGCTGGATCACTTTTCCATAGACAGCCTGAGGGACTGCCTCTTGACGGCCCAGAAAGTCATTAAAAGAAAAGGTTTAAATATTCCATGTGCCTACAGTGGCTCAACTATAACTTTATCAAGCGACGAGACTACTTTTTGTGCGGAAAAAAAACGTAAATAACGACTTTATTCGACTTTCCATTACTTCCTTATGGGCGCATGCGCGAGAACTGAGACGAGACCGTTCTTCTTCGACTACTTTTTGTTACCGGCTGCTCACGCTTAGGAGTTTTACCGCCCCCTACCGTATAAGATGACGTTCTGCTTGTAAACAGAACGTTTTGCGCCTCCGGCTATATCAGTACGTCATCTTATACGGTAGGGGGCGGTAAAACTCCTAAGCGGTGAGCAGCCGGTAACAAAAAGTAGTCGAAGAAGAACGGTCTCGTCTCAGTTCTCGCGCATGCGCCCATAAGGAAGTAATGGAAAGTCGAATAAAGTCGTTATTTACGTTTTTTTTTCGCACAAAAAGTAGTCTCGTCGCTTGATAAAGTTATAGTTGAGCCACTGTAGGCACATGGAATATTTAAACCTTTTCTTTTAATGACTTTCTGGGCCGTCAAGAGGCAGTCCCTCAGGCTGTCTATGGAAAAGTGATCCAGCTCTCAGATTCAATCAAAAATATCTTTATTTGTGTTCCGAAGATGAACGAAGGTCTTACGGGGTTGGTACAGCATGGGGGTGAGTAATTATTGACTTAATTTTCATTTTTGGGTGAACTAACCCTTTAAGCCCTGCTGGTAAAATTAAGGTTTAAACACTCTCCAATAAGGCTTCAGTTGTTTAACTAGTCTACATGCAGTGAAAGTAGGCTACAATAAACCTACTGCATTTACTCTTTTATGAATTAGCAATTAATAAACTACTAATAAACAGCAAACTACTTCTTCGCTGCTGATTCCTGGTGGTTTAGAGGTGAATTCCTCGAGAGTTCGCCCCCTGTCGTTTCACAGAATAGCACAAAAGCGAGCGCGTCAAGTATAAATGCCTCGTCCGTTTGGAGAGGTGCGCGCGCAGGCAGCGGAGACTCGCGCTCTTGCGGACGCGTCGAGGATAAACAAGGCTTAAGTCCCTCCCCTTCCGGTCGACCACCATGGGACCTTATTTCGGAAAAATATTGAATGGCGAGAGACAACAAATATTTTGATCTCTTTTGAATTATGCCCTGAATTACATATATGATGTTTGTCAATTTAAAAGATACATTTTAAAGTAAAGAAAGTCGCAGATTGATGTAAAACCGTTGAGGTATAAGACTGTGTAAATACGTAATTACAAAGACTACAAACCCCAAAGGTGCACACTTTCTCTCAATGAATGAAGCTAACTTTACTGAGGCTATTGTCTGTCATTGTTTCTATAGCCTTACGTTATAATCGTAACGTTACGCCGTCATACCTGAGTGATTTGTACCAGACTGCACACACGCGAGCAGCGGATCTCGCTAGTTTTTTCGCTTCCCGGGAAATGTAGTTCATAGAGTGATTTTCACATAAAACTAAATGTTACTCTTCTGTTTTATGACAAACTGCGACGTTTTTGACTTTCAGAATTATCTTTTAAATTGACAAATATCATATGTGTAATTGAGGGCACAGTTCAGACGGAATAAAAAGATAAGTTGTCTCTCGCCATTGACTACCATTCATACTTTTTTCCGAAATAAGGTCCCATGAGCCGGAAGCGGAGGGGCGGGACTTAGGCTCTCTATTGGAGATGCATGCGCATCTGAAGTCTTCTCCGTGGGAGCGCAAAAAGACCACGCCCCCTTTTTTGTGTATTCCTGTGGGTGGAGATTAGTCAAAAAACTGTTCTAGTTACGTCATTAAAAAGGGATGTAGTCCAAACCGGACGTTCGCTGTATGCTTTGACTTCTGTTAAATAAAATATCTCGCTAGGCATTGAACTTTGAGCTTTATAATTTTACAGGTATTATTTATGCTCTAACAGCAACATTACACACTAACTAAAGTTTGAAAAATGGAATCGCGAAGAACGGGACCTTTTAAGCATAATTAAAGACAGGTAAACACTCAGTAATTAAATAAGGCAATTAGCAATAAAGCACTAGGTATATAGTGTTGACTTTTGTGATTTCTATCTATCTAACTAGAAATGTGTAAGAAATGTCCCATATTAAACAGAGCATTGTCTTTCTGTGTGTGTTGCCAGCCATCTCTTTGGCTTTGCTGCCACTCTCCAGCAGAGCCAGATGCCTCATAAGTGGAGCTTTTGCTTTTTTATTGATCTCTTTTTTTCTCATAGCTGGAAGGGCACAATATTTTCTCCAACCTGACTTCCAGTGAGTATGAGCAGGTGCTGGAGATCATCAGGAAGGCCATCATTGCTACAGACCTCGCGCTGTACTTCGGCAACCGCAAGCAACTGTCTGAACTGCTGGCCACAGGGGCGCTGGACCTGAACAACCGTGCTCACAGGTTAGAGGTCGTACTTTTGCTCCATTATCGCAGAACTCTTGGAAATTTGATTCAACATTCAGTGAATCTCACGGAAAGGGTTGCACTTTATTTTAAGGTGATAGACTAATTACACAAATATGGACTGAGTAATGTTGATTAACTACATGTACTTCAAGGTTATGGTTTGGTTTAAAGGGATAGTTCACTTTGAAATTATTTTTGGTATGTTTTAGCTTACCTCAAGGGCATCCAAGATGTAGGTGTCTTTGTTCCGCAGTAGTTTCAATTGTGATATTTTTAGGTCAAACTGTTCGTGTCTATCAGTCATATAATGGAGGTCTATGGACACCTCCTCAAAGAGCATGCACAGAGAAGTCCAAATTAAACATGATTTAATGACTCGTAAATGTAAGTACACATTGAAACTAACAGTATTTATATCGTTTGACCTCTTGTAACCTCTTGGACGTGGCTGTGGTAACGAGGTAAAAACAATATAAATACTGTTCGTTTTCTCACACAAAAAGCTCGTTTCGTGTCTTAGGCCATCAATGTGTACTTGCATTTACAAGTCATTAAATCATGTTTAATTTGGACTTCTCTGTGCATGCTCTTTGAGGTGGTGACCATAGACTTCCATTATATGACTGACAGACAAGAACGGTTTGACCTAAAAATATCAAAATTGAAACTACTGCGGAAACAAAGACACCTACATCTTGGATGCCCTTGAGGTAAGCTAAAACATACCAAAAATTTATTTCAAAGTGAACTATCCCTTTAAGGTAAGTGGTTAGTAATTATGCATCATTTACTGTTATTACTATAGTAATGTGCAACTATGTCACTTTTTAGACCTTAGTCAGGGTAGCGCCGTATTTTATTTCTGACAGGAATGAAAACAAGGATGTAAGGGATGGATGTACACTACAGTGGGTTCAATGGTTTCTGCTATTTATTAATGACATACAGAATGTTATGGAATTTTCCACCACTGAATAAAAAAGTTAATTATGACTTTTTACCTCACAATTCTGACTTTCTTTCTTGCTATTGCGAGTTTACCACTCATAATTCTGACTCATTTTCTCAGAATTGGGTGATATAAACTCTTAACTCGCAATTGCGAATTATAGTCAGTTTTTCTCAGAATTGGACTCACAATAGTGAGTTTATTAAAAGAAAGTCAGAATTATTAGACAAAAGTCAGAGATATAAACTCTCAATTGCAAATATATATACAAATATATATTTATATTTGCGATATAAATGCGCAAAAAGTCAGGTTTGCGCATTTATATCCCCAATTGCGAGTTCTGATATTATAACTCACAATTCTGAGGGGAAAAAAATCTGAATTGTGAGATGAAAAGGTCGCAATTATCTTTTTTTATATATACCGTGGCGGAAACTATAGATTATGCAGCTCATGAAACATCTTTCCAAAAGACTAAATAAAAACTTGTAAAGACTATGTTTGTCCCTCGTAGCCTTGTTTTCATCTGCATAAAAAGCCTGATTTGATCCCTTTCATTAATTGCTGGTTGATTATTGGTCCACCACAGGGACCGTGTGATTGGTCTGATGATGACTGCCTGTGATCTCTGCTCTGTTACCAAACTATGGCCCGTCACACGAATCACAGCCAATGACATATATGCTGAGTTCTGGGCTGAGGTAAACCATATCATTGTTAACCAAACAGGAATCCTTTTTGTAGTAACAATATTTATATGGAATAAAGTAAATCATTGTTCAGATCACTGTATTGTTTTGAGCAGTGTCTCAAATTGCAGGCCATTCAGTGAAATTGTACTTCTTGTGTGTAATGACAGGGGGATGAAATGAAGAAGATTGGTATGCAGCCCATCCCTATGATGGACAGGGATAAAAAGCATGAGGTTCCCCAGGGACAGGTAAATGAGAACTTCAAGCTCCTTAAAGGCCGCCTGGCAAAATGTTTGTTTTCCTATCCCATGCTTTAGTACAGCCTTAACATTGGGGGTGTGCCTAAAATGTGTCTCATTAGGTCAGCTATGGTATTTAGTTGGGGTTTTTTTTTTGTACCTTAGTCCTGTTTTTCCCCATGTATTCAGGTGGGATTTTACAATGCAGTTGCGGTTCCCTGTTACACCACCCTGTCAGAGCTGTTTCCCCCCTCCAGTCCTCTGCTTACGTCTTGCAGGTCAGTCACACACTCATAACAACGTTTGACTGCATGAATGCTCCTGTACCATGGTATAATACACCATCTTCGCAAAGCACTTTCATTAAACAAATTAAGGAGACTAATATATCTAAATCTGTTTGACAAAGCTAATATTATAAGACAGATAATGAGCCTTGTTCAAATCTGTTATAATCGCTATACACACCGCACTTCAGTTACATTTTATATTAATGAGCCAAGTGGCCATGCTGGCAACCGTAAACAGCCTACAAGCTGATGAAATATATTCAGTTGTTGCCAAGGTCTGCGGTTTTCACGCGTATTGGGATACTTTTATATTGTGTGTTGAAGCTGACCCGCCCAAACTCAGGACTCGATTTTACACCCCACCCCCCTCCCTCTTGAACGCGATTGGGAAGGTTTTGGCTGTGATTGGGCGGGTTTTGAATAACATTATGTTACCCAAACCTGGCAACCCTGACTATATTACTCAGTGGAAGCATTGCTTATTAAATAATTGTAAGCTGATAAAAAGTTAATTAAAAGTGCAAATAAATAATGAAATGAATTACAAAACAATAGTAACTAGATAAAATCATTTACCAAGTCAAACTTTAGTTGGGTTATTTCATATATTATTTGAAGTTTTAAAGAAGTAGTTCACTAAGAAAAAACTTTTGCTGATAATTTACTCACCCCCATGTCAACCAAGATGTCCATGTCTTTCTCTCTTCAGTTGAAAAGAAATTAAGGTTTTTGATGAAAACATTCCAGGATTTTTTCCATATAATGGACTTCATTGGGAACCAAACTGTTCAAGGCCCAAAAGACACTTTCAATACAAACTTCAAACTGTTCAAAGGGCTTTAAATGATTCCAGACAATGAATAAGGGTCTTATCAAGCAAAATGATCGCTTATTTAATAAATAAATAACAAAGTTTAAGTTTATAAGCACAAATGCTCGCCTTGCTGTGTTCTGTGACGAATGTTTGTGACTCTCCTGTTCGAACTCGTTTATCAAAATGAACAAATCTTTTTCCGAGTCATTTGGTTTATTCAACGAACGAAACGAATGAATTGACTCGGAAAAAGATTTGTTCATTTTGATGAACGAGTTCGAACTGGAGAGTCACGAACGTGCGTCACAGAACAGAGCAATGCGAGCATTTGAGCTTATAAACATAAACTTTGTTTTGTTTCGTTTTTTAAATGAGCGATCGTTTCGTTTGATAAGACCCTTATTTATCGTCTGGAATCGTTTAAAGCCATTTGAACAAGTTTGCTGTTTGTACTTAAAGTTTCTTTTGGAACTTGAACCGTTTGGTTCCCACTGAAGTCCATTATTTGGAGAAAAATCCTGGAATGTTTTCATCAAAAACCTTAATTTCTTTTCGACTGAAGAGAGAAAGACATGGACATCTTGAATGACATGGGGGTGAGTAAATTATCAGAAAAAGTTTTTTCAAAAGTGAACTACTCCTTTAACCAGCTTCCATGATGAGGCCTTTGTGCTAGTTCTGATGTAAGGATGAGTCTGTGTGTCTAAACTACTCCCCCTGTGCCTTAAACTGTGACCTCTGTGACCTCGATCTGTGGGGAATGCAAACACAGTTGACGGCGCAATCTGAAAAGCCATGCCACAGTGTCAGCACCAGGTCTTTAACTGGAATCTGTGGGCAGCGGGTTCAAGCGTTCCGAAGCCCTGCGTATTGTGAAATCAGAGAGAGACCAATAAATGACATCAACCTCACTAATTGAAAGGGAAAGTCTAATAGCTGACCATTTTCATCCTCTCTTGTTGGCCTGTGTGCTACATATGGAACAAAAAAGGGCAGATCTAAAAAAACAACTAGACAAATTGAGAATGACCACCTCTTTCCTTCGTGTCTGGGTCAGATTGCCCTGACAGCATTGCCTCAATTACTCTTGTTGACATCAACAACCAATCAATATATTTTATAAAAATTAAATAGTCAAAAACAAATTAGTTGGATCCATTTTAAATAATGTAAAATAATAATAATTGTAATATTAATATATAAGTCAGTTTTTGTGAAATTCATACACAAGCACAATTTATTTATTTAAAAAAAAAGAGTTTTATGATTTAAAAATAAACAAAAAAAATCCAATGCATCCAAAGTTTTGACTAGTTAGCACATATTTACACTTAATATTTTAGAAATAATAATATAGCAAGAATACAAAATGTAAGTGTTTTAAATAAATGTAAATTATAAATCTGAAAGTCACTGTTAACCAAATCCTTTATAAAAGTGGTTTATATGTCAAGCAACTGAAACAATAATTATGACAAAAAAATATAAATTTTGATCAAATATTTGTTGTTGGATGTTAATAAAAAAAAATTCAATTCAACTACCTTTCAATTTTGGGTGATAAATTTAGGGGTCAGTGACAGGATGTGCTTTTTTTTGTGTCCAAGTGCATTATTAAATAATTTGATAAATTCATGATATCACTTTTTCTATAAAACTTTATTCAGTGCATTAAAATAATAACTATTATTGTATGTTTTGGTATCTTAAACCCTCAATATGTCATGTGTCACAACGACTAGGAAAATTAATTAAAATAGTATTAATAATAAGAAATTCAAGATAAAATACAATAGCATAATTTGTGTTTAAAACCTTTCCTATAAACAAATTTTGTAAATATCAGTAGTTTTAAAGCTGTTGAGATCATTGAAAAACTTTTGTCCTGCAATTTGTATGATCTCAATAGTCACAACTGCAAACATGGGTCTTTTATTATGAATTGATTGACAAGATAATAAACATGTATATAATAGATAATGTATCATGCAAAGGACCCCAACTGAACCTTGTGGCCCAACTGAACCAAATACTGATAAATAAGGTTAGATGATCTGGATAGGTCACGGTTAAGGGAGGGTTAAAGTGTAAAGGAAGTGTCCACTGTAGTGATCGTATTTGTACACAATATTATCTTGACTTTTTTATCCATTGCCGTTCAGGTCTTCCGTAATTTAAGCCAGTTGTTCTGCCACATTCAAACAGTTGTTGTTTTTCTGTAATATTGTGAAGAGCTTTCTGTGTATGCAGGGAAAACCTGAACCAATGGGAACGAATTGTTCGAGGAGAAGACGTCTCTACATGGGCTTCCACCGAGGAGGACGAACCGTGCGACACATCAGACAGCGGGCCAGTGAAAGTGGACAACTAAATCCGTGGCACCACCTACACCCCTGCCAGAGATCCTGGACTTCCTGTGGACAGTCCCTCGTCCCGCAGAGACACGAGGAAGTGCAGAGGGCAGGCCGGGACGGATACATTCACAAAAATAAACAAAACATAATGTTACCTCAGTGGGTGACGGAGGCGTACTCTCGAATGACATCAGGGCTCCCTCGTTGATGGCTGGGACTCGAAGTCCGCTCTGCGCGGGATCACTTCTGCAGAATGGCCATCATTATTGACAGTACTTTTTCCTTAGGAGTTTGCTAAGATTATTTTTCGGTTTCTTTCGTGGTCTTACATTTGAAGAGGCCTTAAATACGAACCTGCGTTACGATCTGATAACTAGAAGACGGTTCGTCTTGGTTTAAAATGGTACTTTTTTTTTACCCTGCTGTGGTCAAAAGCATACGCAAAGCTACTTGAGTGGATTTATTTTTTAAGATAGACAGAAGGAATGTTTAGTCGAAGCTAATAGAATGAGGTACGGTGAACCCATCGCTCTGGTGGTCTGATGGATGTTTGGGTAACACTTTACTTGAAGGGGTGTGCATAAGACTGACGTGACACCTTCATAACCATGACATGACATGAAGTAGCATTTATGATAACTGTCATTAAGTGTCTTTCACACAATAATGACATTTTGAATGCCATTGATGACATTTAATGACATTAAATTAAGTTAAACTGTCATGTGGTTGGCTTTGACATTGGCTGTCATGAGGCCATTTTAACAGTGTCATGAATATTTTTCGTGACCTCAACTACAGTGGTACTAATTGAATTTGTCATTAAAAAGTTATAATGGCTTCATGAAAGCCAATGTCAAAACCACAGTGAACTATCCCTATCCCTATCCCTGAAATATCCTTAAACTAGACAGTTTAATGTAATGTTAACCAATAAAGCTAAGCGGTTTCTTAAGTTTGATAATTAATCTGCTATGTCATGTTTATGACAGGTTGTGTTGTCTTAATAATGTCAAGTTGTCATGACAAAGACACTTACAGATTTTGATGTATTGGTTTATGTCAAGGTTTCCTAACAAAAGACATCTCAAACTATGTCATATTTGCATTAAAAATGTCATAACTGAGCGAAAGACACTTAAAGGGATAGTTCACTTTGAAATTAATTTTTGATATGTTTTAGCTTACCTCAAGGGCATCCAAGATGTAGGTGTCTTTGTTTCCACTGTATTTTCAATTTTGACATTTTTTAGTCAAACCGTTGTTGTCTATCAGTCATACACTGGAGGCTAAGGGGGTCCACCAAAAAGCATGCACAGAGAAGTCCAAATTAAACATGATTTAATGACTCGTAAATGTAAGTACACATTGATGGCCTAAGACACGAAACGAGCGGTTTGTGTGAGAAAACGAACAGTATTTATATCGTTTTTACCTCGTGTAATCCAAGTGATCTGAATCAGTTGTGCAATGTCCAACTGAACCGAACTGAATCAGTTCAATGTTACGCCGGAAGTGATCGCTTGCGTGTGACGTCACTCAATATTTACACGGAGATTTCAGAAGTTTTACCATTTACTAAACATATTTAGATATACCGAAATCGTCTTCCATTGCGTTTTCCCTTATATGTTTAGTGAAAGGTAAAACTTCCGAAATCTCTGTATAAACAAAGAGTGACGTCGGCGCGCAAGCGATCACTTCCGGCGCATGCGCAGACCGAAGCGCCCGTGCCGTCAGATCATTTTGTCATGGCTATGATTACAAGAGGTAAAAACGATATAAATTCTGTTCGTTTTCTCACACAAACCGCTCGTTTCGTGTCTTAGGCCATCAATGTGTACTTACATTTACGAGTCATTAAATCATGTTTAATTTGGACTTCTCTGTGCATGCTTTTTGGTGGACCCCCTTAGCCTCCAGTGTATGACTGATAGACAACAACGGTTTGACTGAAAAATGTCAAAATTGAAAATACTGTGGAAACAAAGACACCTACATCTTGGATGCCCTTGAGGTAAGCTAAAACATATCAAAAATTAATTTCAAAGTGAACTATCCCTTTAATGACAGTTGTCACAAACGTGCATAAAACTTTTTTTCATATTCATGTCATGTCATGATTATGAAGGTGTCATGTTAGTCTTATGCTCACCCCTTCAAGTGTTACCAATGTTTTATTTAATATTTAGAGCAAAACATTGTTTTGCAGTACTTGAAGAAATGCAGCCTATTCTGAGTGGAGTTTAAAAAAAAAAACGAAAATCCCCCGCAGCGTGTCCTTTCAAAGCAAAGAGCTTTTGTTGACGGCATCTGAACCTTACTGGAGTCACACACTAGTCACGGTGTTCCTCAATGAAATCTGCAGCATCTTCCAACCTGATATGAAGTTCAGCTTTAACCCAAATACTTGCAGTGGACCTGAAAAACACAGTTACTTTCAAAACTCAAAACCTTCTACCTAGCGTTTCAAAAATCCCTCATACAACTGCCAGCATTTACTCATCAACTACAGCACACCTACTGGGTGTTCAGAAACAGAGCTCTCAAAAATGCCAACAAAACAACTCTTTTTAATTATATGAATTGGATAGGATGGATAAATGGTCATGAAATGCTAAATTATGACTTTATCAACATAATAAGTCAACCTCAGGGGAAAGAAATATCAAAATAAAAAAAATATGATATGCATGGAAGCTTGTTTTCGCCACGGAATAAAATAATTGCGAGTTTACATCTAAATATTCTGACTTGTTCTGAGTTTATAAACAAGCTTCCATACATGTGGCCTATTTACATCATTACTATAAGAAAAGAACTCAGTGTGTACAAAGTAAGCGCTGTAAACTAAAAAAACAACAATGATGCCTAGATGACAGACTGCAGATATATTTATTGTTATGATTTTTAGGGTAAGCGAGCATATTTCTGACAGGTCTGACAAAGAAAATATTCACAACCAGTCTGGTTGCTTGATTATGCTAACATGGAACTATTCTGATCCTGAAGATATTTTAATTATTTGCCTCAAATAATTAATTTTATTATATTTGGTACTACAATCTGTAAATTGATACAACAACAACAACAATGACTTGCTTATGTGGACTGACACCCTTCACTATGCCCCACCTTAAAAACATTACTGACCAACCCTGCTTTAGCATCCGCCAAATAACCAGAGGAAAGTTCTTAAAGGAGTAGTTCACTTTTAAAAAAAACTTTTGCTGATAATTTACTCACCCCCATGTCATCCAAGATGTCCACGTCTTTCTTTCTTCAGTTGAAAAGAAATGAAGGTTTTTGATGAAAACATTCCAGGATTTTCTCCATATAATGGACTTCAATGGGACCCAAACGGTTCAAAGTCCAAATGAGAGTTTCAGTGCAGCTTCAAAGGGCTTTAAACGACACCAGATGATGAATAAGGGTCTTATCAAGGACCCTTCGAGTCATGACTCGAAAAAAGATTTGTTCATTTTGATGAACGAGTTTGAACAGGAGACTCACGAACGCTCATCACAGAACAGAGCGAGGCGAGCATTTGAGCTTATAAAACTTAAACTTTTTTATTTATTTTTTAAATGACCGATCGTTTCGCTTGATAAGACCCTTATTCATCGTCTGGTGTCGTTCAAAGCCATTTGAATCTGCACTGAAACTGTCATTTGGACCTTGAACTGTTTGGTTCCCAATGAAGTCCATTATATGGAGAAAATCCTGGAATGTTTTCATCAAACACCTTAATTTCTTTTTGACTGAAGAAAGAAAGACATGGACATCTTGGATGATATGGGGGTGAGTAAATTATCAGCAAAAGTTTCCTTTTTTAAAGTGAACTACTCCTTTAAAAGGAATTTGATTGAAATCCTACAAAAATGTTGCTGTAGCTCTTATAATAATGACACCATAAACGCATTACTTTACCAAATCTGAATAAACCTTGTGAAGTTCATTCTTCAAAGATTTTAATCGTGTTACTGTACACAAAATCAGATGAATAATAGCAACATCCCTCTTCTTTAACAGAGCACATTTTGCTAAAATCACATGACATGGCTTACTGAAATATGTGGCACATTCTGTAAGGAGTAACAGTAACCAAGATGGCGGAGCTTAGTGAAGGGTCAATTGCAAATGCATCTGACACTGACAGTTGCACATTTCAGAGAGGAAGATATATTTCATCTTGGCTACATCAATGCAGGCTAAAGTGAATTTCTAGTCATGACCCAACAAAAATCCATATAATGTCATTGTTTCAAATGGCTGAATTCAGTTCCACTCTTTGTTTGTTTTTTGGACCTGTGAGGCACCTGTAGTCCCTGCAGACAATGATGGAGCTCTGACTGACTGATGGCCTTCTGTAAATACTGCAGGACTGATGAGTGAATGTAATCAATACTGTCACAAACTGCTTCAAGATGCCTGTTAGTTTTTACGTGTACCAAAGGTGTACACCATCAGATGTGGGAATGTTAAACATGGCTTCCAATGGTTGTGTCGGCATGCGAGCGACATGTGAAGTGTGTAGTGGAGAGATTGAGATGTAAGCTACATTCTAATGGTGCTATCTTAGGCAGTCATGCACTTTCTGATCATGTGCGCGCGTGTGAGTGTGTGTGAGTGTTGGCGTGTGTGTGTGTGTGTTCGCTCTGGAGTAAAGCTACCAACCCCAGCTACGGAGTTGAGAGGATCTTTTCAGCACCGCTCACCTCAGTCACCAAGATCATCCACAACCAGTCTTTTCCCTCATATGCACTATGTTTAGAAACTATTATTATGGTTATTAATATTATTGCTCCTATTATATTATTATTGCCACAATTATTGATTATTACCATGGTTATTTTGTTAATTAGAGTTAAATTTTAAATTAACTTATATTTTTTATACAAAGTTTAGCGTTTTTGTTTTGTACAGAACAAATTGTACATTATGGAATAAAGCGTATGGTCATTTAGAGAAACTGCATACTGTTGCCTGAGATAACTGTCTCAACTCTAAATGTGAGAGACGTAAACTACTTTTATTAAATATTTCTGACAAATTCAAATTGTGTAATATTTTATTCTGTGAATTTTTGTTTATTTATATACATGGACTATTTTACAG